AGACCCTCCCCTGCTCATGCTGTCTCTCTCTCTTAGAAATAAATAAAACATTTAAAAAAAATTTTTAAAAAGGGATGATTTGCTTTTTTTCTGGTATTTCATAGTAGGATCTCAGTAAGCACTTACTGAAGGAAAGAATAAATGAGTGATAGGTAGTATTTTGTGGTGTTAAGATATATATGACTTGAGATGAAGAACTTAAGTTACATTGAGAACTGTGGAATGACTTATCCAGCCACATTACATAAGCAGTACTCAAAAGTATTAGCTTTGGGGGCACCTGGGTGGCTCAGTTCAGTGATTATCTACTCTTGATTTCGGCTCAGGTCATGATCCCAGGATCCCTTAAGAGTGTCTCTGTCTCTCTCTCTCCCTCCCTCCCTCTCTCTCTACCTCCCCCACCGCCCTTCTCCCCCACTCGTGTGCTCTCTCTCTCTCTAAAATAAAAAAGTAAAAAAAAAGGTATTAGCTTCTTAGAGAATATGCAGTCAGATAAGGTAGAATTCCGGCAAGATAACGGTTTGCAAAATCCTGGGAAATGCCTCAACTTAAAATTTTGTATATTTATTTCTCCAGTTAGTACCTGACAAGTTTCTTAAATTTTTAAAAATGTTTTATTTATTCATTCATTTATTTATTTTAAATATTTTTATTTATTTCTAGGAGAGAGAGAGAGAGCGTGCGCAGGGGAGGGTCAGAGAGAGAGGGAGATACAGACTCTGAAATAGGCTCCAGGCTCTGAGCTGGCAGTCAGCACAGAGCCCGACGTGGGGCTCGAACCCACGAACTGCGAGATCATGACCTAAGCAAAAGTCAGACACTTAACCGACTAAGCCACGCAGGCGCCCCTGTTTTATTTATTTTTAAGAGAGAGAGAGTGCAAGCAGGGGAGGGGCAGAGAGAGAGGGAGACACAGAATCTGAAGCAGCTCCAGACTCTGAGCTGTCAGCACAGAACCAGGCTTTGGGGGCTAGAATGCACAAACTGTGAGATCATGACCTGAGCCAAAGTCAGATGCTTAACTAACTGAGTCACCCAGGTGCCCCCACTACCTGAGAAATTTCTAATTAAACTGATAAAAGTTACTGAATGACTCATTGTTGAAAAGTGTTTTTTAATAAAATTAAATTTAGGAATTATTTCTGAATTTGAGTCTGAATTTTATTCTGGATTTTAACTTGTTTAGTCCTGATAATTTACTTTGTACAAACTTCTGTTTCTATGTTTTGCCTTATTTTTATTGTCTTCTGCCAATCTGTCAGTAGAAAAAAGTAATAAAATCAGCCTTTACTTAATGGTCCTATTTCTGCTCCTTGGGTCCTATATTGTTGTCTCATTTTAAGTCCATGATCTACTTCAATAACAGCGATTAATGAAAAATTAACCTGTTATGTAATATACATACCTAATATAGAGTGGTCATTTCACACTGTTCAAAAATAAAACATTCCCAGCCTGCACACTTGCATTTGTGCAGCCTCAGTACATCTGAATCATCCAGATGTGTCTGTTTTAAGCTGACGAGGAGAGTGGCATAGACTGTGGCCCACTGGATAACACTGTGTCATTTACTTGCTCTTCCTAGAGGCTCCCCCACCCTGTCATTCCTTGGCTTGTTCTCCTGCATTTAATTCTTTAATTCTTTATGATATAATACATGTTCATTCTTGGCCTCAGGAAAATGTTAAGATGTTTTTTGTCTTTGAAATATTTTCCCTTTTGTTTGATGCTAGCGGATAGGATGGCGTTTAAGTGGATATCCTGTGCAGACGGATTGTACAGGAAATTGACCTTTATTAGCTCTATGAGAACAAAAGAGTGAGGGGGAAGAAAGAAGAAAGGAAGGAAATAAGATCTTTGACTTGACCAAAAAGATCATAAAAGCAGAGATGGGAAGAAGGGGAGTGGGGAACAAAAAGGAAGGATTGTTTTCCAAGTCATGGTTCTTTTAGTACTTTGGCCTCAAACATGACTTTTATCCTGTATTTGTTACTTTGAATTTTTGAGAAATGTACAGTATTGTTTGGTCTCTATACATCTTTTTAAGTTTCCATCAAATTGTGCTCTTTGCCATTTTTCAAATAGTGTGGTTTTTAAAAAGCTGAACTTCATGCCTTTCACAAACCTTTTAAGCTTGATGGAGCTTCTCTTCAGTACAGATAACGTGCATGTCATAGACATGTCCTTGCACACTGACAGCCTATCACTCTGTCATCAGTGCACAGTTCCTTTTCGTCTAATTTAAATGCTTTCTCTTCTCTGAAACCTTTTCTGATCCAGAGTTTGGTGTTCTGTCCTTTCGTGGTGGTACAGTAGTGAGTTAACAGTACACATAATTCACTTATTCAACAAATGTTTTTTTGAGAGACTCATATGTGCACTATTCTGGGTGCTTGGAATTTATCAGTGGACAAAGCATATAAAAATTGTCCTCATAAAATTGGTACTCTGGGGACGGTTAAATAATATACATGAATATAATAATTAATGTGTGGTAATGAGAGCTCAGGGAGAAATCGGGAAGGAGACATGGGGAGGGGAGGACGTGGGAGTCTTGTCAGGAATAGCTGCGTTTTAAAATAGAACAGTCAGAGAATGCTGTACCAAGAGAGTTACATTTGAGTTAAGTGTCATGTGAATGTCTTGGGGAGGAAGGTTTTAGAAGAAACAGCCAGGACAGACGTCCCGAGGTAGGAGTATGGCTGCCTTGTTCAATAATAGCAAGGAGGCCGGTACCAGAATGAGGTAAACTAGGGGAGGAGTACAGGCAGATGAATTGGGCAAGGCAATTTGTGAAGGGCCTGGCAGGCTCTCCTACGGACTTTCACATTTTACTCTAAGGTAGGGAGCTCTCCAAGAATTTGGAGCAGAGGAATAACATCATCTGACTTACACTTTAAAAACTGGTTGGTGTGTTGAGAATAGACAGTAGAGAATAAGGATAGAGGCATGGAACTCAGGAGTGTGGTGATGAGATGATGGGTGACAGATGATGGTGGTGGTAACAAGGTGGTAGTAGTGGAGGGGGTGAGAAATAGACAGATTCTGGGTATGTTTTTGAAGGCACTACCAATAGGGTTTCCTTAGGGACTGGATGTACTGTGTGAGAGCAAAAAGGAGTCCTTAGTGCTTCCAAAGGTTCCCCCCCCACACACACTTTATTGATATAATTGACATTTAATATTGTGTAAGTGTACAAGGTGTTGACTTGATACTTACATATTGCATAATGATTACCCCCATAGCATTAGCTATACCTGCATCACATCACATGATTATCATTCCTTATGTTGTGGTGAGAACATATACTGTCTACTCGCTTAGCAACTTTCAAGTATATGACACAGTATTATTATGTATAATCATATGTTAGATGCCAGAACTTGTTCATGTTATAGCTGGAAGTTTGTACTCAAACTTCAAGGCTTTCGGCCTGAGCAGTTGAAAAGAGGGAATTGCTATTAACTGAGACGGGGAATTCTGTGGGAGAAGCAGATTTGGGGAAAGAACAGAGAGTATTTTATAGTAAGTCCAAATAGTGTTATTAGTGATTTATTATCTTGATATTCTGAAGCTTAGCATGGTGTATAATAGATGTTCACTAAAATTATTAGTTTTGTAAACTTTAAGTGTTCACATATTGGGTTTTACAAAGTAAATATAATTGTATTACGGTTTTTGCTAGTTTTGGCCTGCTAGGATTTAAGAGTTGGCTTCAGTGTCTGCTTAATTATTATTTCTAAGTTGGTCGTTGATAGTACACAGTTCTTGTTACCCTTGATTTTTGTTCCTCTTACAATCTCAAACAAGGGGACCTCTATCCAACAAGAAGAAAATGTACTTGAACTATGTGATAATAATTAAACAGAAAAATAGAGTAAGAATCACAAAACATGCTAATGTTACCACCATCACTGGCAAGAAACATTTATCAGTGTGGATCATGTGATACTCGCTATAGAACCTAATAAATATTACAAATATTCTCTATACTTTTTGGCATTCTTTTCATTTTAATAAAGGATTGGCATTTTGTAGCCCAATGGAAATTCTGCTAGAGTGGATAATTTATTAGAATAAAGAAAAACAAGTACATGTGACCAGTTTGAAGGATGTTTCATAGAATATGGTGTTTTGTTTGTTTGGTAATCCTAATTGGTTATCTTAGTACAGCTGTTTCCATTCCTTGTAACTGCGTTTAAACAAGGAGCAATAATAACACATCTGATTCACATTAACTTTTCAGGACATCTGGACATAACTTCAGATTTGTCATAATCTTAATGTGGGCCATATTTAATTAGCTCTGAAATTTTAAAGATACATTCCTCTTAGGAAGGAATGTGATGAAGTGAAGTAAACTCTGAAGCTATCAGGAAAATTACAGATCCAGCCTAATACAGGAATTTCTGTAGACAGTTATGAAGCCATTTTTAAAACATTGGTGAATGCTATTCTAAGATTAAAATACACCTCACTGTTTCCTGTCACTTATATTTTTGTATAATTTGGTCATTCAGTTATCAGTTACTGAACACATACTGTGTAACTCATGCTAGAAAAAAGTTTTAATGTCAAGGAGTACATTGTAAAGTTTGGGAAATAAACATCAATTGAGGATATAAAGATAGAAGGTACAAATGTAGCAAGTGTAATGCTTTTGAGAATACTTTTGAGGGGGAGCATATGAGGCTTCCTAGGGGAGCTTACACTAGACCTGAATGTTATAAAATGAGTAGAAATAAGGCAGAGGAAGGGTGGGAGAAGATCACATTCCAGGTAGCCAGGACTCTGAATAAAGGCACAAAAAAGCAGGACGCATCATGGTATGTGTTCATGTTTAGAATTTGAGGTGTGGAGTGGGGAGAGGTACAGCTGGAGAAGTAGGTAGAGACCTGAACATAAAAGACCTTGAAGGCCATTGAAAAGATTTTAGCTTGATGGTGAACTATTAAAGAAGCTTAAGAAGAGTGACATGGTCAAATTTTTGTTTTAAATAGATCACTTTGCCAGCTGTGTGGAGGATGGCTTTGAGGGAGACAAGACTGGAGGCAGTAGTCCAGGTGAGAGATGATGGGGATCTGACCTAAGGCATTGGCAGGAGAGATGGAGAGGAGGGAGTGGATTTGAAAAGAAATAAAACCACAGACTCAAATGGATTTTTCTTCTTTAAATAAGAAAGTCAATTTTAAATGAAAAATGGTAGAAGGAGAGAGAGACCTAATAGAAAAGTGTTGTTCTATCACAATAGGTAGTTGGATAGTGGCAGACAGCCCCTTAAAAACCGTTTCCGTGAGCGAGAAAATCACCATTGAAGGCATAGTGTATTTTTTTATGTCAATGACCTGGGTTGTGAGAAGCAGGTCACCTTTGTAGGGATCACCTGGTTGTGTGGTGTGACTCAGTTTAGGAACCATAAAGCCTGCAGAAGAATCCAGGTCTTACAAGGCTTCAACCATTACGCATGGTAGAAACTCAAATGTCCATTGTTGGTGATGTTTTCTAGAGCCTTCAATTAAGTTCTCAATTACAGAAATATACCATCTAGTAAAAGAAAATAAGGTAAAAACTTTTTCATTAAAGCAGTAATTGTTTGCTATTATATTATAGACAGTGCATAGTAAAACAAAGGTTATTTTGGAATGCCAAGAATATTTTCTATGAAATCAAAACATTTTTCTGTTGTTGAACAGATAATGTTAGTAATTTTTCTTTCTGGCAGCACTGTTTCTACAATTTTTTATATGTAAATGGAAGATCTGGTTTTATGCAATATGTACATATTTCTTAAAGTCTCTGTTATCATTTCCACAATTTGTTTTATGTGGAGAGAGTAAGGGAAGAGGAAAGGTAGTTTGGGAGGACTTATAAAACATAACTGTACTTTCTTGAAACCACCACCACCACAAAATATCCAATATGTTTTATGAAATGAATGGCCGTTTCTTTCTGAGATTTCTTTTTTTCATTTTAAGAAAACTGCTTTTTCTATTTCTGATTTTGGTAAATACGTATAAATCACAGCTAAATGCTCATTTTGTGATCTTTTGTTATATTTTCAACAAATAGACTTCTCTCATGCTTAGGAGACTGTACCATTTGCTCGTTCTTCATGAGTCCATATTATACAGTTCTTTTCTGCCTGGGAGCTTTCAGTATACATGCATGCCAGCAGCTAAAATATTATGTATGTATTGAATTCAAATGAGTTTTTAATAGTTGAACTTAGTGTGAATTCTTTTCTCTTTCTATGTCTTTCAGAAGCCTTGCACCGCCCCTATGGTTGTGATGTTGAACCCCAGGCGCTGAACGAAGCCATCAGGTGGAGCTCCAAGGAGAACTTACTTGGAGCCACCGAGAGTGACCCTAATCTCTTTGTTGCACTTTATGATTTTGTAGCAAGTGGTGATAATACACTCAGCATCACTAAAGGTGAGCTTCTGTATAACATCTCCTCACTTTTCCATCTTCATTAGTGCTTAAGAACTAAAGGGGTCTGTTCTAGCTTCTGCCTCTGACTAAAATTAGGTGATTTAGGCCCAGATACTTTTGGTTCATTGGCTTGTTTGTTTGGTTCATTGGCCTCTGTATGGGATACTGTCACTTTGTCTACTTTATAGGGTTTATTAAGGATAAGTGGAGATAAAGTATTTTAGAAAAAGCACCATGTGGTATATACATAAACTGTTCTCATTCTCAGAATTTGGTTCTGTATGTAATATGCCACATTCATCTTCTGTAGTGGTAGGTTTACTATACACCTCTTCTAACTGAACTGTGGCTAAGATGAGTCATGTTGCCAGAGCCTGGTGCTACTCAGAGTGTTGTCTGTGGGCTGACTGCTTATCTGAGCTGACTGCTTATCTGAGAACAGTTCATTACCAGTCCACATTGTTAAGATTAACAACTTGCTCTTGATAATATAAACCAACTATGTCACTAAGTATACTATTTATTATTTAGTTCAGCTGACATTTTCCTTTTTTGGAGCAAGACTTTTCCTTTTCCTTTTCCTTTCTACTTAATGTTTTAGTTTTGAGAGAGAGACAGAGAGAGTGCAGGCAGGAGAGGGGCAAAGAGAGAGGGAGATACAGAATCTGAAACAGTCTCCAGGCTCAGAGCTGTTAGCACAGATCCCGACGTGGGGCTTGAAACCACGAACTGTGAAATCATGTCCTGAGCCCAAGTTGGACGCTTAACTGACTGAGCCACCCAGGAGCCCCTGGAGCAAGACTTTGAACAAGAAGGAAGTAGCCCAGTGATTCACATTCCAGCACAAGTGTCATGTCTTATTATGGACCTGCTTTGAGTAGCACTGGCCTAGACAAATCTCTCATTTGTGTTTATATGTGCTAGTGAAAAGAATAGTAGGAAGGATTTCTATTGTAGTAATACTCTCAAGAGAATAGTCATTTATTTTAGTAGAAAATTTATAAAAGGGAGCACTGAGAGAACATGACCAAGTAAAATCATCCATTATTAGTTTTTTGAACAAGGACAAAAAATGTGGACCTTTGATGAGAAAGGGTGCCTGGCTGGCTCAGTGGGTAGAGCATGCGACTCTTAATCTTGGAGTTGTGAGTTTGAGCCCCACGTTGGGTGTAGAGATTACTGTAAAAAATAAAAAATAATAAACATACAAAAAAGTAGAAAAAAAGTAAAAGAAAGTGTGGGACATTCTTATTGTATATATGAATTAGATCGCTAACCTGCCTAAGCTTGTTCTTTTGAATTTATGAAAGTCTCTTACTGGGGAAAAAATATATTTCTGGAAAATTAATTTTAAATGTTTAATGCTTATTTATTATTGAGAAAGACTGACAGCGCGTGAGCAGGGGAGGGTCAGAGAGAGGGGGATACACAGAATCCAAAGCAGGCTCCAGGCTCTGAGCTGTTAGCCCATAGCTGGACACTGGGCTGAAATCCACGAACCATGAGATCATGATATGAGCCAAAGTCAGAGGCTTAATTGACTGAGCCACCCAGGTGCCCCAAGGATAATTTTTTTTTTTTTAACAAATAGTTTATTGTCAAATTAGTTTCCACATAACACTCAGTGCTCGCCCCAAGGATAATTTTTAACTTAAATGAAACTGAAATTTAAATGATAATTTGCCACACATACACTTTTTATTTGTAAGGTTCATAATGAGGTATTAAATGGAAGTGAGTAGGGGCACGTGGGTGGCTCTGTGAGTTAAGCATCTGATTCTTGATTTTGGCTCAGGTCATGATCTCCTGGCTTGTTAGATCAAGCCCTGTCTTGGGCTCTGCGCAAGAGCCTGCTTGGGATTCTCACTCTGTCTCTCTCTGTGCCCCTCTCTCTCTCTCTCTTTCTCTCTCCCTCAAAATAAACAGGCTTTAAATGAGAGTGGATATATCAGATTAAGACAGACCTCCACTCAGGGAATGTTACCCTTTTATAAACTTTTTACATGTATCAGTTTTTTAAATCCAGCCAGATTAATCAAAAGCAGAAGAAACCCTTAACTCAGACCTGGGGTATAGATGTGTCCCAGAGTAGGTGTAAGGGCACATATATCTGTGCCAGGAGGTTTTAAAGGCATAGAAAAAGTAAAGCGGGTGACCTCCTCTTGAAGACTTTGGATAATTTTGGGGGAGGGATGGTGATAGTATTTCTGTGCGTATGAGGTTTATGCATGGGGGGAGATTTTACACAGGATAAAACAAAGGACTTCAAAGAATTTTATACAGTGCAGTATACATACTTTTTTTGGACCTCCACACACTTTTTTACCCTTATTGATACTTCAGTAGGGAAGTTTGTAAAGCAGTGACTCAGAACATTCTTTCTAGATAGACTTTGCATGTGAGATTTTTCCAAGATAGCTCAGTCACCAAGGAAACATCGGTGGAGAACGTCTGTTGATTCCTTGGTTATAGCAGTTGCCTGAGTGCAGGCCGGGGTGGGGTTCTTGTTATCTCATGGCACACGGTGATTCCTCTTGAAACCCATGAGATGCCAGATTTTTCTATCAGGTTCTTATTAGTATAAAATGATGTCATGCTAAAGCTATTTTATTAAAGGACAAGAAAATATATTTTTAAAAAATAATCGCATTTATTTTAGTTCCTCCTTTGAATATTGTTTTTTGTTTGAAATAAAAATCAGAGTTCTCCCAGCATTCTTCTGTCAGCAGAACTAATGTTTACATCCCCATTAGTCATATCGTCGTCGATTTCCATGGTACTCAAAACTTCCAGGGTAGAAAATTCTCCTCCTAACTTCTAAAAGAGAGGGAAATAAACAAAAGCTTAGGGTTTCTGACTGTATCCTGTTTATGATGATGTGCCGTTAGCAGTTAATTGTAAGGAAGCAACAATAATATACTAATTCTTCACTTTTTCTGGCTCTTGTGGTACAGTAGATAAAAGCTAGAGAGGAACAGGTTTTATTTAGCTTTTCTAGGAGCACTGGGGTTTTTGACCTGCAGATATGGCTGGTGAGTATTTATCTGTGCACTGGTGCGTTTCCACAGCCACACCACACACACTCTCATCTCCCCATCTGGATGTATGTATATTTTATGAGCACATACCCCTGTGTTTTGGTCATTGAATGTCTCACATCCAGGTCAAAGGTGAGATCGTAGGAGCTAATAAAGAAAGTGACCCCATGGTAAACATTTCTGTGGGCAGCTGAAAAAGTTCAATGGCTACCAGAATAATGATTTTGAATGTTTCCTCTGTGGCCTTTGCCTGAAAACTAGTGGGCCACATGCATGATCTCTCTTTCACCTTTACTGTTTTGTCTGAGCTGCAAGTTTAGGAGCAAAATGTATATTAGGGAGTTTAAAGTTGAGGTTCACCACTTTAATAGAGAAATTAAGGACATTGACGTTGACAGCAAAGACATTCTGAGTAACTTGTCTTGGGTTCCGGCCTCAGCATCAGCTTCTCTTCCCACACGCTAATTTTAGAGGAATGAGTAGGACTGACTCATCTTCTGGGGGAACAGGAGGGAAGTTGGGAAACTATAACTGTTAAAATTTGAGTCCTGGAAAAGGTTGTGCTTTGGGACTCCTAACCGCCTGCCCCCCAAACAGTTTTCTTTCTGCAAACACTGCTGAGAGCTCTGCGGTTTGTGCTTCTGTTTTGTTTTGTTGTTTTTTGTTTCTTACGTAGATTGCCTTGCTGCTTTGGTGCCAGCTGAAATTTCAAAGTAACTTTGTGTTCCGCATTTCTTATCCCTGATCTTTGATTGTTGTTAGCATTGAACCATATGTAAGATACATTCCTTGACAAACTGTTTTGAGAAAAATGAACTTTTTTTTTTGAAGGGTGAGACTATGTCATTTTTCAGAGTAAGCTGTCTTTTTTAAATTCAAGTATAGTTGACACACGATACTGCATTACTTCAGGTGTATGACATTGGGATTTACTCTATTTGTCGTGCTGTGCTCACCACAAGTGTAGCTACCATCTGTCACCACACAGCTCTGTTACGATACCACTGACTGTATTCCCTGTGACTTGTTCATTCTCTGAACTGTATCTCCCACTCCCCTTCCCCCATTCTGTGCATTGCCCCACCTTCTCCCCTCTGGCAGCCATCAGCGTGTCCTCTGTGTTTATGGATCAGGAGCCTTTCTGTCTTTATATGCTGCCGTACTATACCACACATGGGGTTTCCTAGTGCCATTCTTTTTAGTTGGTGTAAAAACCTTTAGTAAATACCAGAAGGTTATTTCTAACTGTGCTACTTGTGTTTAAGCTACAAGCTAAAGAGATCGATCAGGATATGGTGAGCAGCCAAGTTTGTTTTTGTTATTTTTTTTAAATGTTGGCATAAAATTTCCTGATTTTTTTCAGAGTTTAGGGTTTGACAGTAGACTGCTGCTGTTTGAGACAAGTCCTCATCTCTCTTCTCCTCTCTTCTCCTCTCCTCTCTTCTCCTCTTTTCTCTCTTCTTATGATGTCATGGCTAGGTGAAAAGCTACGAGTCCTTGGTTACAACCAGAATGGTGAGTGGAGTGAAGTTCGCTCTAAGAATGGCCAAGGTTGGGTGCCAAGCAACTATATCACCCCAGTGAACAGCTTGGAAAAACATTCCTGGTACCATGGGCCTGTGTCACGCAGCGCAGCGGAATACCTCCTCAGCAGTCTAATCAACGGCAGCTTCCTGGTGCGAGAGAGTGAGAGCAGCCCCGGGCAGCTGTCCATCTCGCTCAGGTATGAGGGGCGCGTCTATCACTACAGGATCAACACCACCACAGACGGCAAGGTGAGACTGGCCGGTGCCACCTGGGGTGCGGATGGGCTCTTCTTTAGGAAAAAATGCTCAGAATGACCAAAAAAACCCAAAGTTTTTATGTCTGACATGAAATAATCACTGATGTGAATTTGGGCTGTTCGGCACGTTAGAGCTTTCTGAAAACAGCATTATATTAACAGTTTAACGATGAGGTAGATTTGAAGGTGAATGAAGGAAACTATTATTTAAGTTCGCTGTTGTAATCACCATCAGTGTACAGATCTGTACTCTACATCCATTGTGTTGTACAGAACTGATCACTTAATCCTTATGTGTTTGAAAACTATAACAGTCTCTGCCACAAAGTTCACAAATGAGAATTTGGGCCTCTGAGACTGAGACTGATCATGTGTATGTTACTATAAATAGGTGAGTCATTTAGCAGTGTACATGTTGGGAAGACCAGCCGTTTCAAAGTGGTGTCTTAGAGTGGAACTGTTTCACTTTATAGAGTGTGAGGCCTGCCTGAATGTCAGTTCTGCGGAACAGTAAATGTACACAGAATCCTCTGTTCCGTTCTTGCCCTCCGTGTGATCCGCACAGCAGGGAAAGCCCCGGCTTTGGAGCAGGCAGACCCAGTTTAGTGTGGGACTCCGTCGTGCATATTTATTAACTTTGTGACTGTACATAAGCCTATTTCTCATCTCACTTTATTGGATCGCTCTGAGGATTAAACGAAGTAATTTCCTGAAAACATAATGGCTCTTACAGAGTAGGAAGTAATTATTAATTCTCTTTTTTGTATCACCCCACAGACCTACTGTCTCTTGATGAAACCAGATAGAATCAGATGAGTGATCATGTAGGGGAGACCTAGCAGCTTCGTGTCTGGTTTACAGAAATGAGTGCATGTGTTGTACAGAAGACATAGACATGAACAAAACGTTCGCGGCTGCATCATTTGTAATAGCCCCAAACTAGAAACGCTTAATTGTCTTAACGACAGAATGAATTACAAAATTGTGGTATATTCACAAAATAGAATCTCATACAACAACAAAAAATGTACCACTGCTGTACATACTCTCAAGAAAATCTGTGGGCCCACCAGTTGCCTGTTTTTGTCAATAAAAGCTTATTGAAGTACAGCCACACCCATTTGTTTATATATTGTCTGTGGCTGCTTTCTCATTGTTATAGCAGCTTTTGATAGTTGTGACAGAGGCATTATGGCTACAAGCCTGAAATATTTACTCTCTGACCTGCAGAAAAACTTGTTGACCTATGTCATAGGAGTGCCACATACAGAAAACTGAGTGAAAGGGATTAGTGACTGTTGTGGGGTGGGGCGGGGGCGTGAGGGGCTGGGACTGTTGCTGATGGGCAAGGGGTTGGAGACTGTTCATCTTTTATGCTTTTATTGTTACAGATTACTGTTTTGTTAACAATTCTGAAATAAAATTATGGCCCTTTGTTTTTAATGGCCTAGCTACTCAAAAACCTATCCTTATTAAGTAAAAATGATAAGATACTTAAATACGCTCTACCTACCAAAAAAATTGAAATCCATGGTTCTCAAGTTAGGTTCTGTGCAGGATTCTGACATGGTATTTCATAACCTTTTACAGGAGGCTGTGTTTCCTTTTCCTTCCTTTAATCAGAACACCTTCGCTGCTGACACATTTGGGTTTCACAGTCTTGTTGCTTAAAACTACTTGAAGACCAATGATCTTGATTATCCAGAGAGATATCTTGGAAGTTTTTCCCCTAAAACTAGAGCTTATTTAGGAAGCCTAGGAAGAATGGTTTAAGGAGGATTTTAATTGAAGTTCTGTATTTCCTCTTACCATCATCGTTTAATTCTTTTCATTTACCTCAATAAGATAACCACCTATCTTTGTATCTTCAGACCAGTGAAATAATGGGCTTCGAAAAAAATGATCCTGACCCTTTCCAAGTTGATGGAGCTTTTCACCTGCCTTTCTCCTCAGGTGTACGTAACTGCTGAGAGCCGTTTTAGCACCCTTGCGGAGCTGGTCCACCATCACTCCACGGTGGCGGATGGGCTGGTGACAACATTACACTACCCAGCGCCCAAGTGTAATAAGCCAACGGTTTATGGCGTGTCCCCCATCCATGACAAATGGGAAATGGAACGAACGGATATTACCATGAAGCACAAACTTGGGGGTGGACAGTATGGAGAAGTTTATGTTGGCGTCTGGAAGAAATATAGCCTTACGGTTGCTGTGAAAACATTGAAGGTGGGTTGCTAAGAATTACAGTTTCCAGACATTTTTTTCTTTTGTGCTGAATCACTTGGAAATATGAGCGTGCCCTTCTTCAACTCGGGAGCGCTTTTCACCCACCGATGCCAAGCACATCAGCAAAGTGATGATTAACCTTACTGCCATTGCTGACAACGCAGGGGCAGATTATTCACTGCAACACAGCGAAACCCACATGTGGGGAAGGTTTGTCTCTGGAGGCTGTTGATGTAGGTCTTAGTGAGAGGTTAGGAGCAAATTCTGAGTTATAATAGCAAAACAAGCCGTTTTGCTTCCTGAGAAGGACCCCTGCTGGACGGAATTGTTCATGCGGTGTTCGGCACTCACAGGCTCGCGGGCTCGCTCGTCTGTCCTTCTGCTTTTTGCCTCGTGCTCCCCCCATCTCTGTGAAGTTAGATCTCTTCTTGCTCCTAATGGTCACAGAGAGCTTCCTCATGCCGCTGTCTTCGTTAAACATCCTAGTATCCAGTGACACAGTCACTCATTCCATTCTCTGACGGTTCTCCTGGTTGCCTCGGTAGCCCTGGCATATCACTTGTGAGGGCTGCGCGGGCTGTGAGTCGTAGTCCGTTCTGGTGAGCAAGCATGTATTAAGCCTACCCTGAGCGTGAGACAGTATGCATGGCTTTGCACATGTGCATTGCTCCTTAAGGAATTTGTCAGGAAGACAAATGTGTAAACAGCTAACTCTTCTGTCTCCTGTTTCAAAGGCTGAGATGTGTAAGGAAGTAAACTGAGAAAGGAGTTACCATCCAGGTCTCCCATGTTTCCTTTGTGTTGCGATATGATGGCTGAATATTGCTTGCCCTGCTTTTCACTTTGGTTTTAAATACTGGATACATTTAGGGACATTTTTCTTTCTTAATTTGATGTATCTGGAGCATATTATTCGGTTCTGATAAAATTTCTTTAAGTAATAGGCTAAAATATTCAAAAGTATTTTTGAAAAAAATTTTTTAAAGCTGTAGGTTTAGGACTGAGTTGACTCAAATGATTAAAATGGGGGTTCATCCCTCTTCTGTTTTTTTGTTTTGTTTTGTTTTCTCTTTTCCCCCCATTTCCAGGAAGATACCATGGAGGTGGAGGAGTTCCTAAAAGAAGCCGCAGTGATGAAGGAGATCAAGCACCCTAATTTGGTGCAGCTCTTAGGTGAGGGCGCTTGCTGAGCCCTGGGTTTCCTCAGTGATGTGTGTCTCCGATCCCATTGACTCCACATGCTCCTTTTTAGTCATCATGGTAGAAGCTCCAAGGGCAAATCTACTTCAGTAAATGGTTTTCATTTTACCCAGCAGGTTGTGTGTTTAAAAATTGCCCTGGGGGGTGACTGAGTGGCTCAGTTGGTTAAGCATCCAACTTTGGAACAGGTCATGATCTCGAGGTTTGTGAGTTCAAGCCCCACTTCGGGCTCTGTGCTGACAGCTTGGAGCCTTTGGATTTGGTGTCCCTGGATTCAGTATCTCCATCTCTCACTGCCCCTCGCCCACTCACACTCTGCCCTTCTCTCTCTCTCAAAAATAAACAAACATTAAAAAACAAGAAATTCCCCTGGAACGGGGTGCCTAGCCAGCTTAGTCAGTACAGCATGTGACTCTTGATCTTGGGGTTGTGAGTTTGAGGCCCCTGTTTGGTATAGAGATTACATACATACGTACATACATTAATTTGAAAACAGTTTTTTCTAAAAATTGCCCAGGAAAGAGTGGATTGGATTGATTACAATATATAAAACTACCCAGCGTGTGGTAATTGCCTCAGATTCAAGTTCAGAACCACTGAAAATGATACCAAACCAAACTTTGTCACAAAGTATTTTTACAAACTAAAGAGACATTAAACAAAAAACTTTTGAAGCAAATTAAAAATTGTGAGCACACCCATCAGTTTACCTTGCTGAGCAGAAGGTGCTATGCTGTGATAGAATGGCTGTTCAGGTCACAAGGAAATTGTTGCCTGAATTCTTTGCCCTTTTTAAAGGAGGGCCAGTTTCTTTGGGTGTTCACATTAAGACAAACTATCCCAAAGGAAATAGCTTCTTGTTGATTCTTTTTTTAAAAAAATACATTTTTAAAAAATGTTTATTTTGAGAGAAAGAGGAGAGAGAATCCCAAGCAGGCTCTGTGCTGTCAGCCCAGAACCTGATGTGGGGATTGAACTCACGAAACTGTGAGATCATGACCTGAGCCAAAAGAGTTAGACACTTAACCAACTGAGCCATGCAGGCGCCCCAGCTTCTTGTTATTCTTTATAAGGAATCTGCCCTGTGTCAGTGAAATCCTCGACGATGGAAACAGTCTTTTTACAAAGCATTATACAGGTTGAGCTCACACAGTCTTCAACATCTATATGATTGCTATTACTTTTAGATAAATAGATAAACATTGTTAGTGTGCAGGTGAGGATCTGAGTCTGGGGCATATACAGAACTCCAGAAATTTTGGTCTTCCAGAGGCCTTATGGAACTAAACCTGGTAACTCTGCCTTTGCCCAAAGAGGCAAATACTTAAATGCATGTGGATTTCCAGAGAATGATGTAATGGGGGCTGAGACCCCCTTATCAACCAGCAACCTAGCTTTGCTATGTTATTTTCACAGAATGTGATGGCAAGAAGGGAAAAGATTACTGCTGAACTAGACTTTAAAATTTGTCAATTATTCTTGACGAAGTTGCTTGGAATTTTTAAGTATATACTGATAAAACAAGCTCCATTCTTGAACTACCAGGTGTGTGTACTTTGGAGCCACCATTTTACATCGTGACTGAGTACATGCCCTATGGCAACTTGCTTGATTATCTCCGAGAGTGCAACCGAGAAGAAGTGACTGCGGTCGTGCTGCTGTACATGGCCACCCAGATCTCTTCCGCAATGGAGTATTTGGAGAAGAAGAATTTCATCCATAGGTATGTGAAGCCCGATCACTGCCTGTTACTCACCGTGAAGCTACCTTGTTTGATGTGCAAATAAAGAATGTGAGAACATTCCTGGAAATTTCCAGATGACCCAGGAAAGCAGTTTTCTCTTTGACAGGGCCTGCCCACTATAATCTCATTTCCAGCTTATAAACCTGCTGCATTCTGGTTAAAGTATTAATAAGGAGCCTTTGCTGTTCTCAGAACATAATGCTCTTTATTTTGCCCAGGATTATATTCAAGAGCCTTTTGCTGCGTCTAATGGTTTAATTTTAAAAATAGCTTTCTGTCTTAGTTAAGAACTTAAAGTAAAGCCTTGCAGCAAAGCATCTTTTGCTCACCTCTGAAACCTAGCCCAGTGTGCTTATAAATAGGAAGCCATTTTCTGAAGTCTGCTTTTTCTAGTATCACATAACTGCCTCTTGATGACTACTCTCCAAGTGGTGGGTATTAGTGGCTTTCCACCAGGTTAGCCGTCATCATAAGATACTACCGTATCTGTCAGCACAGACTTATCAACTCTGCTTGTAGCACAAAGAACTAAGAACAGAGCATTTGTTCATGGCCATTTTCCTCACCATCTGAGTGGAATCACATTAGGGTTCTCTTTCCCACAGAGATCTCGCAGCCCGTAACTGCCTAGTGGGAGAAAACCATGTGGTAAAAGTGGCTGACTTTGGCTTGAGTAGATTGATGACTGGAGACACCTATACTGCTCATGCTGGAGCCAAATTTCCTATTAAATGGACAGCACCAGAGAGTCTTGCCTACAATACCTTCTCAATTAAATCTGACGTTTGGGGTAAGGTTTGGAAGGGATTTTTTCGTATCATTTTTTTTCTTTAAGTTTATTTATTTTGAGAGACAGTGCCTGTGGGGGTGGGGCAGAAAGAGAAGGAGAGAGAGAGAATACAAAGCAGGCTCCACACTGACAGCGCAGAGCCTGATACAGGACTTGAACTCCCGAGCCAGGAGATCATGCATGACCTGAGCCAGAATCAAGAGCCCAGAAGCTTAACTGATTGAGCCAGCCAAGCACCCCTGTCATTTTATTAGAGCTTCTCTTTATGTGACCAGTAAACTCTGCCTTACCCCCATCCTTCATCGGTCATTCAAAAAGCTTTAATTAAATACCTACTGTCTGCCAGGCATTGTGCTAGGCACTTAGCATAGAAAGAAGTGTAAACTAGGGGTGCCTTGTTGGTTCATTCGTAGAGCCTGCAACTCTTGATCTCAGAGTCAGGAGTTCAAGCCCCACATTGGGTGTGGAGTCAACTTAAATAAATTTTTTGAAAAGTGTAAACAAGAAAGTGGGAAAGGGGCACCTGGGTGGCTTAGTCGGTTAAGCGTCTGACTTCGGCTCAGGGCATGATCTCATGGTTCATGGGTTCAAGCCCCGCGTCAGGCTCTGTGCTGACTGCCAGCTCAGAGCCCGGAGCCTGTTTCAGATTCTGTGTCTCCCTGTCTCTCTGACCCTCCCCTGCTCATGCTGTCTCTTTCTCTCTCAGAAATAAATAAAATATTTTTTTAAAAATTATATAAAGAAGAAAATGGGGGGAAAAAAGTCCCTGCTTTCAAAGAGCTCACAGTCTAGATCTTGGACTGCATTGGAATTTTACTTATCCTTTCTCTGTAAAGTTTCCTGTTTTCCGTATTAGGTTTTATTGCTTATTTCCAGAGCACTGTGATGCAGAGTAGCCTCCTGTTTTCAAGGAAGCATGATGGAATTGCATCTAGAATTTGCCGTTGTAACTCATCTTGTTTCTGTTGCACTGAAAAGCATTCTGATTTAGTGGCAGCTCAATGGACTGAACAAGTCTAGAAATTCAGGTTATAGGCCAGCAAAAAAAGTTGTAGGATGCTGTGTTGCTTTCTGTCAGGAATCTCAAACTGAGAAATAACCTGTGACAAAGTCCAGCAATTTTTTTCTAACATAATTTTTTTCTGATTTTAAATGAGTCCATTTTTATCTTACTCCTTTAATATTAGCTGATCTAAAAACTGAAACTCATTAAATACATTATAGATTGTTCTGAGAGTAGTTTGGTTATGTCCTAGACTTTTAATGATCGTAATTTATTTTCCCTCACTGCAGTAAAGGAAATCTAAATGAAAGTCTTGAGGTTATACCTGAAGCATTCTTGTGGCAAATATCTTAAAAGGACAAGTTCAGCTGTAAGAATCAGCTAGAAGAATTAGAGTATATTAACATAACAGTGTGAATGTTTTCCAGAATTTGAAAGAGAAGTTAACCTAATAGTACACAATAAATAAAAAATCAGTGAAGAACATTCAACTTTTTTTTTCCTCCCTTACGCAGCTTTCGGGGTCCTGCTGTGGGAAATCGCTACATATGGAATGTCACCATATCCAGGTATTGACCTGTCTCAGGTCTACGATCTACTGGAAAAAGGGTATCGAATGGAACAACCTGAAGGATGCCCCCCTAAGGTTTATGAACTTATGAGAGCATGTGAGTGGGGTTTTTTTTTATATTTTAATTTTAAAAGGTTAAATCAGTGATTCAGGATGATTAATGAAATAAATATTTTTCCTCTCAGTATTGTTAGATCGACTAATCTCATGACATATAAAGAGTTGGACATTTATCAGATAGGTGGCATATATGACAAACCATTGAGGTTTTTTGGTGTTTTTTTTGTTGTTGTTGTTGTTTTTAGGAATTTATTTATTTTAGAGAGAGAGGATGGGAGGAGGGGCAGAGGAGAGAGAGAGAGAGAGAGAGAGAATGAGAATCCCAAGCAGGCTCCAGGCTCAGTGCAGAGCTCAATGCACGGCTTGATCCCTGAGATCGTGACCTGGGCTGAAATCAAGACTCAGATGCTTAACTGACTGAGCCACCCAGATGGCCCAACCATTGTGTCTTAATTGGAATCCTAAGACTAGTTTCCATGGCCCACTTGCATATTTAATAGGATAATAAGAAACTGGGTTTGGAGACTAGATAGGGGAAGGTTGCTTTTATCCAGATGAAAATGAATCCTAAAGACGAGAACACCTGAAAGTAACCTCTGATGGATAAAGAGAAGCGTCTGACTTCTTACAGATGAGAAAGCTGGAAGATGAGTAGTGAATTAAATTGTATTTGTATTTAAGCATAAGTCTTGTTATTTTCCCTACTGCCCTGTTTTTGTCAGAGGGAACTCTGAGTTCCTCCTATATGGATAGCTGATTATAAGGTTAAAATGAGTTTGAAGACAGGTTTTACTTCTTTCATTCTTCCAGTGGAAGAAAACTTTCTGTTTTATAAACCATCTCCCCGCCACTCTTTATCCATATAGTAGGAAGGACAGAAGCTAAGGCTGCATAGAAGGACCAGCCCTACCTAGGAAGTGGACTTAGTACACCTGTGAGTCTGGAACTGGAAAGCAGCAGCCTCACTGTCACTGTGAACATGCTGTGCTCCTGCTTCAATATCGCACGCACGTCACGATGCACGGAACTCCCTCTCAGGGGGGCCACCAGATGGGTAATTTAGAGAAGCTTTCAGTAGTTCCTTCTTGTGTTACACAGGCTGGAAGTGGAGCCCTGCCGACAGGCCCTCTTTTGCTGAAACACATCAGGCTTTTGAAACCATGTTCCATGACTCCAGCATTTCTGAAGGTGAGAACCTGGGGATGTACTGTTGGTCGCCAGTCCTGGGTGGTGGCAAGGGTGGTGATAACATTAACAAATTACAGACTCCTACAGTTTGGGACTCCATTTCAGGGTACTGAATTAATTCTTGGCCTTTGTTCTTGTTTTACTTTTTTAAAATGTGTCTCTGTTGTCTCTAGCTGATTTTTAATATTGAGATTTTAGGGCATCTGAGTGGCTCAGTCAGTTAAGCGTCCAGCTCTTGATTTAGACTCAGGTAGGTCATGAACTTGTGGTTCGTGAGGTCAAGACTTGCATTAGGCTCTGCACTGACAGCACGGAGCCTGCTTGGGATTCTTTCTCTCTCCCTCTCTCCCTCCCCCTACCCCGCTTGCACTTTCTCCCTCTCTTAAAAAAACAACAACAAAAAAAAAACCCAACATCCCGAAAGTTGTTTTCTGGGAGTAGATCTTAAGGAAATAATTAAGAGGATGAATAATGGTTTAGCTGCAAGGATGTGTAGTTTATAATATTGAAAAATTAAGAACAATTTAAAAATGCAGTGGGCTGTTAATTACTATATGCATATAATTGAATATTTAAAATGCCATTCTTAAATATGTTGTCATGGAAAATACTTTAAAATGCACATGTTAAGCTATGAACAGTGAGAAACCTTTCCTTATCTGAAAAACAAGGGTATGGGCACATACATAGAGGCAGCTTCCTACTTCAGTATTACAGTGCCTCTAAGGTTGTATGCAAGAGTCAGACAGTCAATACTTGTTAGATAGTGAGAGCTAAAAACATAGAATTCTTAGTTAAGTGTTCTTACTAGATTCTTCAGTATAGCTCCAGAATTTCGTACATGTTTTTCAGATTTTTCCTTTGCGTCATAATTGAACATAGAACTTACTACTTAAGTTCAGCCTTCAAAATATTAGAAGAGGAAATCAGGCAAGTTGAATCCTGTCTTTTTCCATTAGCGATTTATCATTTCAGATAAAATGAAAGGGAAAAAGTACAATACCGAAGTTGAATGAAAAGTATTTTCATCGTAGTCCTTTGCAACCTGAAACTTGAGCACATCGCGGGAGGTACAGTCGGCCCAATTGAGCACCTCCTGCCCCAGCTCTTTTCTTCCTCCGTGTGCTTTATTTCATGTGGAGTCAAAGTGGTAGAAGCCATAGGTTTCATTTTTTTTGGTGCTTACTATGTGTTAACTTTTAACTTCTGTTAAATCATTCGTTCAATATTTGTTTCCCTTGAACATGTTCTATCCTTGTAGAGAATCAACTATTATCAGTTTTCAAAGTTAACTGCAATTCTTGCTAAACAAGAAATTTAAGATACTTTAAGCCATGTTTTATTCATCATAGCATTTAATCTGTGACAAGCATATACCGAAGACACAGAGATAAGACACAGTTTCTACCCTAAAAAGATGTATTTATTAGTTGTGAGTGGAAGAAATCTAACTCAAACTTTAAGCAATGAAGGGAGGATTTATTGGCTCATAACCAAACCATGGAAAGTAGCTTCAGGGCATCCTCCTTCTAACAGCCACTCCCACCTGGGATCACTTTACTTTTGCTTCTAGGTTAATCTCATCCTCAGAATCTTCCAGTAGGCATGGGACACAATTGCTAGCCTCCTTGAGGTATATCTTCACAGCTAACCTCTGCCTCCCAGCTGCTATAGATAGCAGCGTAAGAAAGGAATCTCACTGGCATGACTTGGGTTGTATGCTGTGAACCCATTCTTGTAGAGGAGTTGATTTTTTATTTTTTTATTTTTTTAATGTTTTTTATTTATTTCTAGGAGAGAGAGAGAGAGAGAGAGACAGCGCGAGCAGGGGAGGGCCAGAGAGAGAGGGAGACACAGACTGAAACAGGCTCCAGGCTCTGAGCTGGCAGTCAGCACAGAGCCCGACGCGGGGCTCGAACCCACGAACCGCTAGATCATGACCCAAGCGAAAGTCGGACGCTTAACCGACTAAGCCACCCAGGCGCCCCAAGGAGTTGATTTTTTAAATAGTTACACCAGAATGGTGTAAAATAATCACAGTATTTCACAGAAGTCCTGCTTGCTTCATTTTTAAGGAGTGAATAGCAAAGTATGTCTTTGCCCCAGCAGAAGCCACAAAAGTGCATAGCCATGTTGAGTCAGATGAGGCTTACTGATAGGGTGAGTGCTTTTCAGGAGCCTCATTTGCTTTATGTGCTTGAAATGAAACGTATCCGCCCTCCTTCTTGGTGCAAGGTGCAACCTAAAAATAAAAATAACTGCAGAAATCTGTCTGCTTTATGAAACCTCTGAACAAGCACTCAGTGAGCAGGGATACCTAAATGATAGGAAAGCACATGAAACTGTGCTTACCGTGACTCGTCATCAGAGAAGTCCGGAATAGAACAGTGAGATGCCACTACATACCTACACTAGCATGGCTAAAATTAAAAACAGAAAGCCTGATACTGTCAGACGTTGGCAGGCATGCACAGTAATCAGAACTTTTACACAAGGTGAGTGGGAGTATAGGTTGCTACAGCCACTTTGCGGGAGAGTTTGAGAGGATCCAGCAAATTCAGCAAAGCTGAATTTGTGTGCAGCCTGTAACCCACAGTCCTGCTCCTAGGTATACACCCGGCAGACGTACGTAAAGTTCCGAAGCAGGAGACACGTAGCAGGGTGTTCCTCGCAGCATATTCATAATGGCTCCAAACTGGAAGCGACCTAAATATCTGCCAGAAGAGGAGTGGGTTGACTGTGGTATTCCCTTGCTCTGGGGAGGGGGCCCCTGCTACATGCGAAGCACGGAGGAACCGACGGTCACAGTGCCGAGTGAAAAGAGGCAGACGTACAAAAGTACAGACTCCGTGATTCCATTTATATGTTTTAGTGCCCTTTTCTTCAGCCTTTTCCTCCAGCCTTTCAGAAAAGTATACACTTTTCTGAAAAGAAAACCTCCTTTTCTGTGTCATGAAATTGTTTTTGCTCAGTCCCCTTGTCTCCCTCACAGAGGTGGCTGAGGAGCTCGGGAGGGCTGCCTCCTCCTCATCTGTTGTTCCCTACCTGCCCCGACTGCCTGTACTTCCTTCCAAGACCCGGACACTGAAGAAACAGGTGGAAAACAAGGAGAATATCGAAGGGCCACAGGACGCCACAGAAAATTCTGCGTCCAGTTCAGCACCAGGTACGGATCCCTGGGCAGGTAGAATTAAACTGCCTTGTTTCCGGAACTGTGGGCTGTGCTGCTTTGTTTCCCTTCTCCTGCCCGTCCTCCCTGAGGAGAGAATGGCTGGCATCTGCTTTAGCCCCTGCCTTCGTCCTCGGCCCTCAGTGCCGCCGTTGTTAGTCCTCATCTCTCCGTCCGCCATACAGCTCTGCCTCCCACTCCGCTTTCTCAGCCCCCCAATCCCTGACCATTACCGTCTGCACAGTTCTGGCAAAAACTGCTTCCCTGAGCCTGATGGATGAGGCCAGGGTGTGCTGTAGTGTTGAGAGAAAAGACGAATGCCGAGGTAAAAACCAGTAGGTTACTTCCTCCTATTTATCTCCCACGTTGCAGTTGGAACACTCATCGGTGTGAAATGATTAACGTATTTATTAGTTTCCTCTGAGTCCTGCTAATGCCTGACATCTCATAGATGCCGACAAAACTCTTGCAGTTAAGCCTTAGTAATTCAAGAGTCACTTTTTGTCTTTCACATTAGTGATTGGCCATTTCTCTTCAGGGTTCGCTAGAGGTGCACAGGCCCCCAGTGGGTCCCCAGCGCTGCCTCGAAAACAAAGAGACAAGTCACCCAGCAGCCTCTTGGAAGACGCCAAAGAGACTTGCTTCACCAGGGATAGGAAGGGAGGCTTCTTCAGCTCCTTCATGAAAAAGAGAAATGCTCCCACACCCCCTAAACGCAGCAGCTCCTTCCGAGAAATGGAGAATCAACCCCACAAGAAATATGAACTCACGGGTAACTTCTCATCTGTTGCTTCTCTACAGCATGCTGATGGGTTCTCTTTCACTCCTGCCCAGCAAGAGGCGAATCTGGTGCCACCCAAGTGCTATGGGGGGAGCTTTGCACAGAGGAACCTCTGTAATGACGATGGTGGCGGGGGCGGGGGCAGCGGCACTGCTGGGGGCGGGTGGTCTGGCATCACAGGCTTCTTTACACCACGCTTAATCAAAAAGACACTGGGCTTACGAGCGGGTAAACCCACAGCCAGTGATGACACTTCCAAGCCTTTTCCAAGGTCAAACTCTACATCTTCCATGTCCTCAGGGCTTCCAGAGCAGGATAGGATGGCAATGACCCTTCCCAGGAACTGCCAGAGGTCCAAACTCCAGCTGGAAAGGACAGTGTCCACCTCTTCTCAGCCAGAAGAGAATGTGGACAGGGCCAATGACATGCTTCCAAAAAAATCAGAGGAAGGTGCTGCTCCAAGCAGGGAGAGACCAAAAGCCAAACTTCTGCCTAGAGGAGCCACAGCTCTTCCTCTCAGAACCCCCTCTGGGGATCCAGCCATTACAGAGGAGTCTCCGGGGGCGGGGGTGGCTGGAGTGGCAGCTGCCCCAAAGAGCAAGGAGAGGAATGGCGGAGCACGACTTGGCATGGCTGGGGTCCCAGAGGATGGCGAGCAGACGGGCTGGTCTTCTCCCGCCAAGGCTGCCGCAGCCCCCCCAACCACTCACAACCACAAAGTGCCGGTCCTCATATCACCCACTCTGAAGCACACTCCAGCCGACGTGCAGCTCATTGGCACAGACTCTCAGGGCAATAAATTCAAACTCTTATCTGAGCATCAGGTCACATCCTCTGGAGACAAGGACCGACCCCGACGGGTAAAACCAAAGTGTGCCCCACCCCCACCGCCAGTGATGAGACTACTGCAGCATCCGTCCGTGTGCTCAGACCCCACGGAAGAGCTGACCGCCCCCGCTGCGGGACAGCCCACGTCAGAGACACAGGAAGGAGGGAAAAAGGCAGCGCCGGGGGCAGGGCCCGGCAGTGGGAAAGCTGGGAGGCCAGCGGTGCCTCCGCCTCAAGTGCCTCTGCCCACATCTTCTGTCTCGCCGGCCAAGATGGCTAACGGCACAGCAGGTACTAAAGTGGCTCTGAGAAAAACCAAACAGGCGTCTGAGAAAATCTCCGCAGACAAAATCAGCAAGGAGGCCCTGCTGGAATGTGCTGACCTACTGTCCAGTGCAATCTCGGAACCTGTGCCCAACAGCCAGCTGGTGGACACCGGACACCAGCTGCTCGACTACTGCTCAGGCTATGTGGACTGCATCCCCCAAACCCGCAACAAGTTTGCCTTCCGAGAGGCTGTGAGCAAACTGGAACTCAGCCTGCAGGAGCTGCAGGTGTCCTCAGCAGCTGCTGGCGTGCCCGGGGCGAACCCTGTCCTTAATAACTTACTGTCATGTGTACAGGAGATCAGCGATGTGGTTCAGAGGTAGCCACTGTCAGCCTAGTGGGAAGGTGCTCGCGTTGCTGAGGGGAGAGGGAGAGGGGCTTGTTTTCCTGTGTTCTTGTTTTCAAAAAATGAAAGACTGATACTTGAGTGTGTTTATGTGAAGTACCTCAGTTCTCTGAGTTCTCACGTTTACAGGTTCATCTCAAAAATAACGAAAAGCAAAACACATAGGACAGGGAAGCTGGGTGGGGGCAGAGCAGCAGTGGACGGGAGCGGAAGCTGCACTGGATGGAACGTCAGGGAACGTGTGTGTGTCCCACCACGGAGGAGCGGGTGGCGCGAGGTGGCCGCGCGGGGCTGCTCCCGACAAGACCGCGGGACCGCGCCTGCCCAGCGGATTGGCGGTGGCTCATTCTGCACCGCACAGAAGGGAAGGGACTCGGGGCTGCGGGGGTACTAATGGGGATGACCATGCTCCAGCTCCCCTAACGAAGCAGGTGGGACAGAAGGAAAAGCTGACAATGTACCGTGAGAAGTTTGGCCGAGGCTGTTGGAAGCAGCTGTTTCCACAAGGTCCCTGCTGCAGGAAGAGCACAGAGCTGGGCGCGGGAGTGTGTCCCGGTCCTGTTTTCCACGGAGGCATTAGTCGGTGCAGGGGCAATGAAGGCTGGGAAGCAGTCCGAGTGAGACCACCTCCTCACGGCTTCGTACCACTGAGCGGAAGTCCCTTCTCCCAGTCTAATGCGTTACTTCCTAGTGGACCACGATTGGCTTTCTGCTTGTTGGTGTCTGTCTGTAAACAGCAGGCACGGGGGGCTCCTCAGTGGTTCTTCTCTGCTCGGCGGGCCTTCTTCCTTTATCTCTGGCAGCATTCAGGGCATTAACCAGCATTGATTTTGAAAACAGCAGTCACATACAGGTTCTCTTGGGAACCCTTTTCGGATCCAGTGTCCCTGCACACCGACACCCCCACCACAGGATTGAGCAGCTCCGTATTCCTTCATCGGCTAAAATGCTGGGAGAGAGGTTTCTTGGAATTTAACGGCCAGGGCCAGAGGTCTGACTGAGAGGAGAGGCTGGCTTGGTCCCGGTAGTTGTTTCTCTGTACCTTTCTCCTCCCTATCTCACCTCAGAGCCAGGCCAGGGAGAGAGCGGGGAGAAACATTCTCTCACTCTCTGTGGACTTCAAGTGAATTACCCCACATTACTCTCACATGCTTTTCTCCTTTCACATGCCCCCTCCCCGTCACTGTTGTGCTTGTTTATAAATATCATATTGGGAATATTCTTTGATACTTATTTTGTCATTTCTCCTCTATTTGAAGAATGCATAATTGAAGGGGCAGGTCATTCCCAGGAAACACTGATTAAATCCTAAAGATCTAATGACTTCACCCTCCAATACGTTTTGCCCTTAAAATAGGCCTTTTCCTTTCCTTTTCAGTTATAATCATGGAAGCTAATTAGGACCATATGGAACTGAACCTGATTGGTTAGAGGTTAATACTCTTGATATCAGGTCTAATTAACATTTCATTCTCTTTTTAGAGCCTTATGACCACCACCTGCCACCCACCCAAGGAGAATACAATTTTTTTCCTCCCAAAAGGAGTATTATTAATCTAGGAAGATAGGAATTGAACACTGATGAACTGTGAGTTCTCTTCTTGGCTGTGTGATCTGTCCACTCTCGGGCCACAGCCCCATCTCTTAATCTGTTGAATGAAGGTAATGATATGTCTTCTCAGGGGTGTTTTGCAAATAAGTATGTAGCGGTCCCCTGAGAGCCGCTTCAGTGCAGTGTTGTTACGGCGGACGGTCTTCCGTGCTCTCTGCTCAGTAGCAGATAACGGAAAGTTAGAACTGCTGAGACCATGCCGACTGCGCTAGAATACTAAGGAGGAAAACCTGTGTTTGGGGCAGAGTTTGTCATCTTTGACCGGGGAGGAAGTTTAGTTTTCATTAGAAAGAAGGACAGCTTTGATTTTTACTGTGGCCTCTCCCAAGAAGGCCCAGGCGGTGAGAAGGGCAAGGAGGGAGGAGGCGGTCCCGGGCCTCCCTGGCTGGGCTTGGGCGAGCCCCTTCGGTGTGTCACCTGCAGGTGTGGCCACAGGCAACTGGTGACGAGAAGACAGGGTTCCCCGTGGCCAGGATGGAAGCCCACGGTCCCCCCACCTTCTTCGTCTCCGCTCCCCTTCATCAGTCTTTTCCACAGACTTGAAATTGTTTTAGCAGTTAGCCTTTTAAAAAAGGGTGGGGCAGGGAAAGCTAAAACTTTAGAATATTATGCTGCTTTTTAAGTTTATCCGTCATCGTGGGATGCAAGTTGAAGGATTAATTATGTAAGTGTATTTTCAGAGGATTTTTATTTTTATTTTTATTTTCTTTTAAAGCAGGGGATCTTTCCTTGAGAGCTCTGGAAATCAGCCTTGGAGGAACACTACTGAGTGTGTGTAAGCTCCCTGGTTTTCTCACCGCAGAACAGTCTTGGGGCTGGGGACTGTGTCTTACTCAGGGGCAGCACCTGGCTCTGTCTTGCCTGCAGTCGGTGCTCAACAAGTTCATGAAACGGAATGCTCTTTCCCAGCACGGTCAGGAGTAGCATTAACTATCATAGCACACGCCATCCACACGGTGTTCGCACTGTGTGACTTCAGGAGTTGTGGGCTCAGGGCTCAGGTTAAAGAGGCACTGTCAACTTACTGTAAAAGTATAATTTAGATTTTTTTTTCTCTTTCTCATTGAAAAGGACCAGATTTTAAAAATAACCTTATATAAGCTTAAAAGTTTCAATTCACAGCAGAGAAAACTGCTTCTAGAAACTAAAAACATAGTCTGTCTAGTTTAGAAGCAAAGAAGGAGCAAGAGCCCTTCTACAAGGTGTTGGAAACTTTCTAAAGTGGTTTATATATATATATATATATATATATATGCGCGCATACCTTTGGGCTATCATAGCTTGGGTCCTTTCATGTATAGAGAATATGGTTTCAGCTTAGGTTTCTTACATTAAAATGCAGTGTTTTGTGTAGAATACATCTTGATTGTGCTTTACATGAAGTATTTTCTTAAAAGACTTTGTGTAAAATTAAAGTGTGTATATTTTCCTACAGACTTGCATTGTGAATTTCAGAGATCTAGCCTTAAAAATGATTGGCCCTAAGAAATCCATCCAGTGTTTTTTCCAGATGACCACTATACATTGACATCATTATAGGAGAGACCCTTTCCCAGCTCTGATTTTGGGTTTTGAATTCGATTTTTCTTACAATTCAATTGTAATTTGCCTAGTAAAATAGTGCCCAGTTAATAAAACATGCTGACTTTGCTAAGGCACAGTCTGTATTTATTTGACTAAAGTCATGGAGCTTTTGAGTTTTAAAGGTTACAGTATAGGTAGTGATTAAGAGTTGAGACTCTAAGCCAGTCTAGAAGGCAAGTCATTTAACCTTCCTGAGCCTTAGTTTCCACATTGGAAAACAGGGATAATAATAGTAACTACCTCAGGGTTGTTTGTAAGGATTAAATGAGATAATGTGTGTAAGATACTTAGCTTGAGTGCCTGGCACGTAATGAGCACTCCATAAATGTTAACTGCTTTTACTGTTAACACTTAGTCCAGTCGAGTCTTAGCCAGGGATGTGCGGCAGAATCCCTGGGATTTAAGAAACAGTCTGATGGCTCACCCCAGATCGGAATTCCCAGTGGGGTGAGGTCTCAGCAAATGTGCGTTCTAAGAATCCCTCCATGTCTTTCAGATACCCAACATTGCCTGAACACTATCGGTACCCCAACCCCTTATAGCTTAAGAAATTGGAAGAGAGGATGGTTCGGTTATTTGCCCATTTCCTCAATTAATTAGTGGTGGAGCCTAGGCGAGGGTTCAGGTCTCTTGGCTTTCTGGTTGTGGGGGCCTCCCCCCATTCCTGCTGCCTTGTGAGACACTGCAGAGAAAGTGGCTCAGCTAGACAATCAGTCTGCACGGTGCTGCACATGCTCTAAAGCACACGCCCGGCACTCTCTGACCTTCAGGGGCTGGAATGTTTAGTAACGGCACCGCTAACAGAGCAGGCCTTCAGCGGAGCTCAGTAATTTAAACAATTATATAGGGTCGTTCTTTTGGACAGACCTCAGCAATACAGCAGTCGTCTGCACTTTGTAATAAATACCTACTTAAGTTTTAAAAAAAGCTAGTCCCCACATTCCTTTTTCTTAAAAACAAAACAACTTTATTCCGTATCATTTTAATGACTATGAGATAATGTATATGAAAGCACTTTGAGAAAGTATCAAGTGTAATTTAACTGTAAGGTTGTATTATTAATGCCTGTTTGGAGGATCAAACAGTCTATTAGATGCTGATTGACTTAATAGGCTTTTACCTGTGGGGGACCTGAAAATGCAAATATATAAATAATCACCCCTATAACCACGCATTTGTAAATATGAAATTGCTAAATGAATTATGTGCAGGTATAGTGAGTGTTTTTGCTAAAATTGTAGCTCAGTGCCGAATAATTTCAGAAAACTGCGGACCAACTTTCTGGTTTAATTATAATCATTAAAAAGTAGTAATGTATACTCACTCCAGAACAAGGAAGCTCTTCTAGGGACCTTGAATCGGACAGAATTGAGGCCCTCTTATCTTGGAACATTTGTCCACTACATGTTCAGTCATTTTGCATCCTACATGTGGTGGGAGCGGACTTGTTCCCTGTTGTTGACAGTGTCTTTTTTAACCCATGTCCTGCGTGGTTTTGTTGTTGGGGGTGGGGGGGGCAGGGTGGGGTCAGATGGCCGTAGAACCGGTGCACTTTGGGAATTAGTTTTCTAGGATTTCCTGCCAGTTAGAAATGAGCTTGATATTCATCATCTGTGTGTGGTTTTTCTTTTTCTTTTTTTTTCCTAAAATGAGTAGCTAAACACTACTCTCCTGCTAAATCATAAACTACCCAAGAGGAAATTGCATTGGTGGCCACTTGGGAGTTACAGGCACACTGCGTTCTGACCTCTCCTGCTCCCTTCCAATGCTTGCTACTGACATCATTGTTACTGTCAGGCTAAGCGTCGACTGGTGGTTACATGGGGAGTTCACGTTGGGTTGACAGTGTTGTCTACATTTTTATTCATAAATTTTGGGTTTCATCATCTTGTTTGGCATTAACCTGTTTTACCTGGATTTAGGGTCCATCTCTGTCCCCTAAGCATTTGTTTTCTTAAGTAGATGAGTCTCTGGATGTAAGTTTCTTATGAATTAATAGAGCCCAGCTGTCTGTGTCTCCGTCTCCGCTTCTTTCAAGCCAGTAGCTCAGTTCTTCTGCAAGTGTCTGCTTCGGTTTGGAACGTGTGGGAACAGGAAAGCGCCAAGGGAGCTGACACACCCTTCTGACAAAGGCAGGCAGAGGCGGCCCCACAGATGCCCATACCTTCCGCGTGACCACCCAGGAGACTGCTGCCTGCCTCAGCCTCACTGGACAGACAGGAGAGGCCTTGGGCTGGTTCTGAAACCTGTCCTGCTCTCAACAGTCAGGATGCTTACGTCCTTTGGATAGAGTGCCAGTTTTCCAACTCCCAGAGTTTAAGAAAACACATGCAAGGTTTGCTTTTGGCAAGTGCCCGGAGTAACCATTATCGTTACACCTGCTCTGTTAAAGCCGGAATGTCCCTGTCCTTCGCTGCCGTCCTGTAGTACCGGGAAGTGTGGGTGGATTTCAGGGCTGTGGAACGGGCCACCTGTGCAGAGCATCTGCCCGGGTGCCTGTCTTCGCTCCAGTCCCTCTTGTGTGAAGGAGTTTCTGCTCTGGAGCTGCTGTTTTTCATGCCATACCTGAGGTGTGGGTTTCATCTTGAGATAACACGTGCAAGATGCTATTGCCTTCTTTCCTGACTCAGCGCCCTAGATCCAAAGGACAGGAAATTGGGGAGAGCTCCACCCTGGGATAATCAGGGTGGGAAGATGGCATGCTTCTCCCTAGGTGAGAAGCCCAGGCAGGTCACCGTGATTCTAGGCTGGCTTGGAGTGCTAGAGGTCACTCTGAGGATTGTGCCTTCAAAGATGGGTTGTGTGCGTTTTGTGGAGGAAAGACTTGTATGCTGGGTTGATGTTTGCACATTAGTGAGCTAGAACAGGTAGGTGGGTGGCAGTGGCTCAAAGCCCCAGTCAGCAAGAGTCTCTGCTTGAGATGTTCTCTCCACACAGGGTGCTGAAGTGGCAGGCTGCACTTTCTCCGGCCCGCTTGGTCAGCTGGGGGAAGGGTGCTCTAACTGGACCCTTCCTGCCCCCAGGTGCACTTCTTTGCTCCTGTGTATAACTATAAATTTGAAATTGTTTACCTCTCTTGGAAAAATTATGTCCTATAAGTCTCCCATTGCTGAGTAATCTGAACACATTAGCAAGGCCATGGTTAACAGCTCAAGGTCATGGATGGCGTGTGAGCAGATCTAACTTGCTGACCATCTACGGGGAAAAAGGGTGTCTCCTTTAAGTCACAAGTTCAGGCTCAACTTTGTTCTCAGACCACACCCCATATATCCTTCTGTGTCTGTTCTGTGAAATTCTTTGTTCATCATGTTACTCATAGGATCAAATTTCTGGGTCCTGCGTGTTACTCCAAGCTACTGAGCTGTACATACAGGCCTCGAGGTCTTGGGAGCATTCCAGTTAGTTCTTTAGGACAGGGTGGAGGTGAGGTGTCCAGTGCTAGCAGGTTTTCAGAAGGGAAATAGACGGTATCGTTGGAGCTTGCTTAGATTTGCTTCTGAGCCTCCGGATAAGAGTTCGAAACATCTAATTAGGCCATTAAGTTCAACCATGAACTTCAGTTGGAGAATGGGACTTCTGATTAATTTTCACATTTAAGGATGGTTTTCATCGGTTGTAACATAACAGTAACACAGGGTGCCAGATGAATTTATTCTCGGTTAAGAAGTTTCTGTAGGATCGGCAGTGCTTTAGTGCCATCCCTGGGGAATCCCAGATACTGCTCTGCACAGTTCAGAAGTACCATTCCAAGCGCTGAGAGTGGCAAGGATGCCAAGAGACCAAGATGTTTCTGGTAGATGAATGAAGGCCAGGTAAGCCAGCCTTCCTCTGTTTTGACCAGCCGTTTTTCACTGTGGCCACTCTTCTTGGGATTCCATTATGAGAGAAGTTTTCTGAGATCTTGAGAAATCCCCTTGATTAAGGTGATTGTCTTTCAGAGAAATTAGTATTCAGAAACTAGAAAGGACAATGAGGTTCTCATCTTAGGGTCCTTTAGGGTGTATGTTTGAAAACCCTCATATCTCGGATCCATACAGAGGGTATGTGTGACGTCCACACCCCATTACTGTGCTAAGGAAGGAGGGGCGTAGGTGCAAGAGGAGTTACATCTTTCCCTGTGGTGAACAGAAACAGTGCCCTGCTCTGGTGAACAGGCCGACTGCGCTGTTCACGCATGCTCAGAACTCCCCCCGCCCCCGCCCCGCCATCTCCTGGGTAAGCCCCACACTCTTTTTGCAGTCTGATTCTTTAATGACTATCGGTGGAGAAACCCAGTTTTATACTCCAGTTTGAACATTTCACGGTCGTTGACAGAACTTTGTCCTAAAATATGTGATTCAGAGTCTTTAAAACTTGTTTAACGTTTATACCAAAGGTCACGCCCTACAGTTGTATGCATGGTGGGTGCACAGAAGGTGAGGTCCGGAGGGCCTGACACTGTGTGTGTTACTAAGGGGACACAGTGAGACAATATGGGATTTAATTGAAAACACATCAATCATGGGTCACACTACCAGTGTTGTTGGGTATTTGTTCTTGTAGTGTATGTTCAGGTGTTTTGTTTTTCTAATTTAATTATCTCACCCTGTTGTCTGACTGTGAACTGCTAACAGTGTTAAACTTGATGTAAATAAATGAGGCCCTTGAAAGGGGAGTGCTGTCTGCCTGTTGTCTCACAAGGCTTGCCAACTTGTGTTTTATTTTAAATAAAGGTTGCAATATTTTATTGGCAATGTACGCTTGTGATCGGAGTGTTTCTCTCATAATTTTACCTGAGAGCAAATCTGCGCAGAATTTATCTTTCTCTGCAATGAAATTGATGTCTGTAAGGGAAAGAAGCCGATTTTAGCGACCTCCCTCTGGCACAGTCACCCTCTCTGGGAGTGAATACTCATTCTCTGATGGGTTACGCTCCTTGGAAATGGCCAGAGACATCATCCGGAGCCCGGCAGCTTCATAAGGTGGGTAACGTGTGTGCGTACGTGTATCTAACGTGGGCTGTGAAGTGAGCTGAGCCTTCGTTCTGTCAAAGTCCATTTTGAGGCCAACTCCAGATAAATTCTAAAACTGTTTTTGCAGGTCATGTGGAATGTCACAGGTCTTCAGTTTTTTTAAAAACACGAGTCCCCGTTGGGATTAGGTAGGGGCAAGCTGTGTTCAGGGGGTGCCCGTGCGGGGCCGGGTGCGGAGGCTGTCGAGCCTCTGCTTACGCGCCCTCACGCTCCAGCTTCAGTCCTCCTCTCGTGCCCGGTTTTGGCCACGGTGGGAAATCTCGTTTTAGAGAATCCCGAGGAGAACCTTCCATTGGGATTTTTCCCTCCTGGAGAAGCGGTCATATTTTGTGGAGCCGATGCTGGGGCAGCGGCTGAGGAAAGCCGCGTTGGGGAGGAGTCCTGAAAGCGCAGGAGCGGGGGTGGGGCCCCCCGGGCCGCACCCCTCCAGCACACCCCTCAGGGCCTGCAGTCCGTGTCTAGCGAACGAAGACCGAGCTCACCAGGTCGAAGCCACAGTGTTAGAGTCGAGCTGAAGATGGCCCGAGGGAACGGCTTCGAAGGGCTCAGCACAGGGCACCGCCCGTGGGCCCTTCCCAGGTGGTAGTTTCCTACTGCCTCAGGGGCGACGACTAGGACGGGGGTGGGGGAAGGCCCAGCCGGGGCTCTGCGTGTGGTGCCAGCCGATGGCCGTTTTACTAGATTTTACCTTATTCTTAAACACGCAAGCACTGTGTCCTGAGCACTTTGTAGGGATTAACTCGTTTTATCCTGACAGTGACCCTGTGAGGTAAGTGCAGTGATGCTCACTTCCGCACAAGTAGAAACCAGAGTCTGACTGCAGTTCTCAGCTTTCTGTGGTCTCTGCGGTGTCACGGTGGTGAGTGGCTGAGCCACGGCACTCGGGCCTGGCTGGCTGCAGAGAAGCGGTCAGAACCACAACGTTCTGCCGCCTGTCGTGGGCCCCGAGCTGAGGGAGGGTCAGAGCCTGTATGTATCTATGACATCGCACACGGCTAGTCGCCGTGGCAGCCGTCCTGTGGCTCTAAAACAAGAGTGTACCTTGTAGAGTGTGCACTGCCAGGGCGTAGAGCTGGGGTCGCAGCGGGATCAGGTGGCCTGCATCTTCCTCCCGAGATGCTCCAGACTGAGCCAAGGAGCCGGGGGCTAAAACTGACCCCCTCCCCCCTTTTACTGTGCAGTGAGGCCGAGCTCATTTCGGTCCCATAGGTGGTGAGAGAATGTTGCTTTACTCACGTATTTGAGTGCTGAGATTGGGATGTGGCTCAGGCTGGGTACCCCCGAACCTTGAGAGCCTTGAGTAAATGAGTGCAGTAAAGCGTTAAATGGGAGAGAGACAGAGTGTCTGTTTTTCCAGGGCTAAAGGGAAGAGGGTTGGGGAGGGCTTTAAATAAGAAGGGATGCTTGAGGTGATGACAGATGTAAGGAGCAGAGACCCGTGTGCAATTCCAGAAAAGTGAAGGAACCAAGAGAAAGGAAGAGACCCAAAACTCACACCCCATGGGCCAGAAGCAGTGTACGCATTTATATGTAACCATTCAGACCTCAAAAATGACTTTCTTTTTATAGCTGGGAGCCCGGGACTGACGTATTCATACCCAAGAGCAAGACGCTGTGAGAGCCTCTTCAGCAAGAGGTTGAAATGACCCAGTTCAGCCGGCCAGGCAGTCGCCTGTGAGCGCCGGCACGCACTCCCTCTCAGCCCACCTGGCAGTAGGACCTCCTTTTGGAATGTTGCTGGGTGAGCATGATTACTAGGTCTCAGTAAGAAAGCAGGCTGCGGGTTCTAGGAAAATACAGTGTTTTAATTTTTACATATGACACAGGCGTGTCAGAGCCCCTAACTTAAATTTTTCTTTTAGATTTACAAGAGAATTAGTCATAACCTATGCTGACATTTATATACATGAAAATTCTTCCTCTGTGTACTACTTCTTTCAGTCTGAGGCTCTTTGCTCATTTGCTCACAGAAGCTGCCCAGCTTCCCTCTGGGAACAACTCTAAAACTAAGCCACCCGTCCCGCAAACCTGAGCAGCTGAATTGTCCCCTTCCCTGTCACCATGGCTCCCACAGGCGTCTGCAGGCAAAAGCTGAGATGTTCGTGTGCGCTTGGCATTTATCATGCACGTGGCTTTCTCCGGCCACCTGGCCCACGTTTTAGGATGCGGCTTTTTAAGGCACCAAGGGACTGAAAGAACTGGCTTTGCTTCTGTTTTAAGGCTTTCCTTCTTTACCTCATGTGGGTGAGTGACCTCTGGAGGCCAGCCTGCCCGACAGGCCCCAGGGCCCTGTTAGTGGGGGGCAGGCAGCTTCTGGAAGTCTTCCTCTTCCTCTAGCCATCAAGGCAGGAAGTAGTTAATTCTGTGGGAAACAGACTTGCAGCCCTGCGCAGAGAAGAGTTGCTCTTCCTTAGGGACATACACCATCATCTTGGCAACTTGGTCCAGCGCTGCCTCTGTGTAGACGAGCTCCTGGCTCAGGAAGGCGTCGCGTGCACACAGCCTCACGTGGCGGTACTCCAGCGGCAGGAAGGGGACGAAGAAGTCAATCAGATTTTCTTTGACAAGATGGCTGTGGCCAAAGCCACTGTCTGAAATCAAGACCAGAGTTACATGGCGTCTGCCCTGGGGCCGACCCCACCTGCAGTTGTAAAGTGTCCCCAGGCGTAAAGCGTGTGTCAGGATCCACACAGCTGTGTAGGAGTTTTAGGGACCGTGTGCCACAGGTGAGGGGGGGCAGCACTGCAGGCTTACAGTTTCGTCAGGCAGCAGAAAGGGGGGGGCTGGGGGTGTGAACCTCTGAGCTCACAGACTCTTGCTCAGGCTCCACAGGCTTCTCCGACCCCCGCCTGGATTCCCAGGGCCGGGCAACTACTCTCCGAGCATTTTCAGACAAGGAGTTCAGCTTTTTTGGACTCTTCTTGTGCCTAGTTGGAGTGGCCAACGAGATGATGACCGTGTGTCCTCTGTGCCTTGTCAACCCCAGAAGCCACATCCCCATACCTACGGCTTCTGTGAGGCCGGGAGCCCGTTACCTGTGGACGTGGCAATCTCGGCCTGGAGCTGGGGCCCCAAGTGTTCCAGCTTAATGTCCTCCCGGGACCACCCGGCCTTCAGCAGATTCAGGACAGCCTCATTGATGACGCTGCCTCCCAGGTTACTGGAAGAAATAAGGACTTGTTGACAAATACTATTATGAGAACTTGATCTCGCTAAAGCCACTGCCCCGGTGACTGGAAGAATGGAGGTCAAGGGGCCTCTCCCTCTCCAGGGGATCTTGTCACCACCCACAGTCTGCACAGAAGACCTTGTCCTTCAGGGGGAGCAGGAGGCTTCTGAGCCCAAGCAGAGGCATGAAGGTAGGCGAGGCCAGCGTGGGGAGGCCTGTCTGCCACACCCACACCCTTAGCTTAGCTCTAAGCCGAGGGGAACGGCTGAAGGGGGGTAGGCGGGTGCACTGACCTGCTCTGCTTTCCTTCATAATAAGATCATTCTAGGGCCACAGAGGGTGGACTGAAGACCTGCGATGGCTGCAGAAGGCAGGTCCGGGAGTTGTTTAGAGGTAGAAGGGTTTAAGAGTTAGCTTAGGAGGCCCAACTGTCGAGCCCCTGTGACGGATGTGAGGGAAAGGAGGCCATCAAAGAACACAAGCACGTGCCGTGAGCTGCTTGCTTCCCCGGCCGCTGACAAGTGGAGTGAATATAGAAGGGTGGTGACGAAAACTCGGATCTGCGCCCACGAGTGTTTTAAATTTGCCCTTGATCTCTCCAGGGTTTGGGATCTCACTAGGCAACTGGAATTATGGGTCTGAAGCAGGCTGGGTTAGAGAGATGCCGGAGGAAGAGGAGAGGATATCAGAGCCACTGCCCGGGAGCTGGGAGCACTTTCTCCGAGACCCCCAGCCTCACCTCCCTCCCCACGTGCTTCTCCCTTCGCTAGGCCCAGGCCCACAGCTTCCCAGGCCTTCCAGAGGGAGGGGGAAGCTCGACGCTCTCCTCATGAAGCTGACTCGGTCACTCACAGCCACATTAACCCATTTGCTTGCGTGTTTAGCATCGGAGTGGCTCCTGTGCCAGGCTCCGTGTGACACTCCGGGATACAGAGGGGGCGCCGAGTGCATCTCTCCCTCCCTGCCCGCCTCCGCCCATGGGTAAGCCAGGACTGCCCAGTGACCCCCCGTGCCTCCTTCCTCGGAGGGGCCAGCGTGCCCCTCACAGCCAGGCTTTTTCCCAGGCCGGAGTCCTAGCTGCAGGGCCCCGCCCCCACACCCCACACCCACCAGGCAGCTCGTCTACACCTGCAAGTGGTCGCGATTGCATCAGCGAAAGCAAGAGCCTTCCCCTGCCAAGGGACTGCCCCATCCTGCACCCCCAACCCCTGCAAGGAGAGGCAGGTGCACATGTGCACGGGTGCAGGGCAGATAGCGGGAGAGGAGGGGGAGTCCCTCGTGGAGCCCCAGCACAGTGCATATCAGGTGCTCAATAAACGTTTATGAAATAAATGAACGTTTGTGCATGTTTGTCTATACTGTTTCCATCTCCCTTCCGAAATTCTCTTGTTCCATAGCCAGTGTCGTCGTCCTCTGCGAGGGGCATTTCTCTGTGACATGGGCCCCTTCTCTCTGCACCACGCCCACCCCTTCAGCTCCTCATTAGGTGCTGCTGCCTGCCCAGAGCGCCCCGGGCCCCTCCACACCATTCCAATTGCTAATAGGTCTTTCCTAAGAAGAGAGAGAAACTCCACTCAGTTATTAACCTGTCAGAGCCTTAGTTTCCTCGGTTGTAAAATAAGAGAGCTGGACCAACTTAAGATCCCCCCGAGGTCACCCTAGGTTCAACAGTCCATGAATAAACATTTCTATACGTGTCCTCTGCGCCCTGGGGTGCGAGGCCCTCGATTCCATGAGCGACTTACATTCTTTTAAGTCTTTAAAAGGCCCTCTCTGTTGTTTCCCTGACCACAGCCACGAACTCCCCTTTCAGCTCACGTCATCACCCAGGAGAGGACACGCACCCCCGCGAGAGCGCCATGGCCCCGCTCCGGCCCGTGCTCCGCCTGGTGGAAGCAGGAAGCGGGAGCGAGCCAGCCATCCGCCCTGCTCCCGCCTGCCACCCAGGACACCCCGCCGCAGATGCCCCCCCGGGGGCGGGCCTGCAGAGCCACCAGCGCCTTACTTCAAACAGCAGGCGTAGGGTTTTCTTCAGGATTCAGCTACCGGCCTTAAACAGTGGAACTTGTCCCCAGCCGCAGCTTGAATCAGCTGTGCCTTTCTTCTGAGCCCAAGGGCCCTCCGCACCGGGGTGAGGCCACCACAGACACCGGGTCCAGACTCCGATGCTGTCCTCCCCCTCCCATCCCTGGGACACAGACGGTCCCGACTTCCAACTTCTCCACTTCACCACGGTGCAAACGCAGCAAGCATTCGGAAGACATTACTTTGAATCTTGACCTTTCCCTCGGCTGGGGACGCGGGCAGATCCCTACCCGTGACGCTGGGCCGCGGCTCGCAGCGAGCCACCTGGTCACTAGGGCCCACAACCGATACCCTCCCAGCCATTCTGCGCCCCTACGAGCCCGCCGTTTCCGCCCGTGCGGTGCTCATCAGGTACCCGGGACGGGCAGCACTTTATTGTTGGACGGCGTTGCCCCGCGATGGGCTAACGTGTGCTGCGAGCAAGGTCAGTGCGGGCTGGGCTAAGCCACAGTGTCTGGTGGGTTCGGCGTGTCGAATACGTTTTCAATTTACGATGAGCTTATTGGGACAGAATCCCATCGTGGGCTGAGGAAGAGCTGCACCTGAAAGCGGAGGGGGTTTAGAAGCACTGCTTCCTGGACCCCCAGAGGCAGGAGTGGGGAGGGCGCTGAGCTGCACGGTCAGCCAGGCTCCGGGCAGTGGGCGGCCAGGCCTGTCCAGGACCGCTGACGCTCCGAGGCTGGGCACAGGCCTGCAGCAGAGCCACCGGCGCTGGAGACCACGCCCTTGTCACAGGTGTGCACCCTCCTCCCCAGAGGGGTCCCTGACAACCGGCATGGCCTCTCCATCCGCCAGCAATGGGGGCCCACGCGCTTTTCCCTGGTGACTCTCTCGTCAGGCCCCGCTGCCACCCCAACCTTATCTCCACTCACTGGTGACCGCGTGGCCTCGGACGGTGCACAAAGGCCAGGTCATTAGGGGAGAGGGCAGGGCTAGGGGGGACTGGGGGCACCGCAGGCAGGTCGATGACCAAAATACTCTAAAGACAAATGTTTGCCTAGAGACTGCAAGGTCACCTGGGTCAGGAAAATCAGGAAAGCCTGGCAAGGGTTTTCCAGGCTGAGAACTGAGTGGGAAAGTCAGTGCCCTGGCACTGGGGCTCAGGTCAGAAAAATGTCCACTTTTCTCTTTTTAAAATCCTCTTGGGACACCCTCCCCCCCCCCCCCGCCCCGGGCACCGTAGTGTCCTGTAAGCCTGAATTCCAGAGCCGGAAGGGCTTTCCAGCCACACACCGAACTCCCGCCCTGGCCGCAGTCTCGCCTGGCTCCGTGGTGCCCCGTGGGACCACAGTGAGACAAGAACTGCCTTCCACGCCCCGCCCCCTGACACACTCCAGGCTGGGTGAGAAACCAGACTCCCTACCTCTCACTTTCACACGGTGCACCCAACACTGAAGAAGATCCCCTAGCAAGCGTGTACTGGCCTGCCCAAGGTGCGGAGAACCGTGTACCTTGTAGTGGCTGCTTGTGAAGCCTTTCAGGTTGGGCCAGCAGGGACCCAAACTTGAGTGCTAACAGACCTTGGGCGGGACTTTCCCAGCTGGAGCCACCATAAAGAGAGAGGATTGAACAAGCTGATTTCTCAATTCACTTTTTACAAAGCCATTTCCAGAGCATACAGGCAAACCACACAGGAAGTACAATATAAAGGTCAAGTTCAGGGTCCTACCTGTCCAGGCTGCAAATCTCAACACAGGTATGAGAGCATGAGCTTTTCATTCAACACATCATACCCTGAATTTCAGGCCAGTGACTTCCCCTCATGATCCCAGAAGAAACAGACCTTCCAAGGCTGGAGAAAGATCGATGTGGCCATGCTGGACTTAGTGGCAAACCACCCTCCACCTGAGTCTCCCTTGAGGTTTCTCAAGGGTAGTTTGTACCTAATTTTCAACAAATGTGCTGATTTGAGAACGCAATGCCCTTTTAAGAAGGGACTCACAAGGGGCGCCCGGGTGGCTTAGTCGGTTAAGCGTCCGACTTTTGCTCAGGTCATGATCTCGTGGTGCGTGGGTTCGAGCCCCGCGTCGGGCTCTGTGCTGACTGCCAGCTCAGAGCCTGGAGCCTGTTTCAGTCTGTGACTCTCTCTCTCTCTCTCTGACCCTCCCCTGCTCACGCTGTCTCTCTCTCTCTCCTAGAAATAAATTAAAAAAAAAAAATTTTTAAATATTAAAAAAAAAAAGGGACTCACAATATGTGAATTATATTCCAAGTTTCATTACAAAGCCATAATAATCAAAACAGTATGGTATTAGCATAAAAACAGACACATAGATCAGTGGAACAAAAGAGCCCAGAACTAAAACCCAAGCATATATGGTCAATTAACTTTTGACAAAGGAGGCAAGAGTAACAATGGAGAAAGGACAGGCTCTTCAATAAATGGTGTTGGGAAAACTGAACAGCCACATACACAAGAATGAAAACCCAGTTGTCCATTTTCATACCTTGCACCATACCCCCAAAATTAACTCAAAATGGATTAGATACAATGTGAGACCTGAAACCATAAAACTCTTAGAAGAAAACAGGTAGTAAGCTCTCGAACATCAGTCTTGGCAATGATTTTTTTGGATGTGACACCAAAAGCAAAAATAAGTGGGACTACATCGAACAAAAAAATTCTGCATAGATAGCAAAGGAAACCAACAAAAGGAAACGGCAACCTACTAAATGGGAGAAAACATTGGAAAGTCATTACCTGGTAAGGGTTAATATCCAAAAAATACAAAGAGTCATAACAGAGGCACCTGGATGGCTCAGTCAGTTAAGTGTCCAACCCTTGAGTTTGGCTCAGGTCATGATCTCATGGTTCTTAAAATCGAGCCCCATGTCAAGCTATACACTGTCAGCATGGAGCCTTGTTGGGATTCTCTCCCTTTCTGTCTCAAAATAAGCAAACATACATTAAAAAAAAAAAAAAAAAAGCTCATATGACTCAATAGCAAAAAGAATCTGATTAAAAATTCTGAAAGATCTGAAAGAACATCTTTCGAAGGAAGACATACAGGTGGCCAACAGGTACGTGAAAAGGTGAACACCGCTCATCATCAGGAGAAAGCTACTCAAGGGGCGCCTGGGTGGCTCAGTCGGTTAAGTGTCCGACTTCGGCTCAGGTCATGATCTCATGGTTCGTGGATTTGAGCCCTGCGTCGGGCTCTGTGCTGACTGCCAGTCCAGAGCCTGGAGCCTATTTCAGATTCTGTGTCTCCCTCTCTCTCTCTGACCCTCCCCTGCTCACACTGTCTCTCTCTAAAAAAAAAAAAAAAAAAAAGAGAAAGCTACTCAAAACCACAATGAGATGTCACTTCACATCTGTTAGAACGACTATAACCAAAAAAAGACAGGCAATAACAAGCATAACTGTGGATGTGGAGAAAAGGGACCCCTTGTGCACTGCTGGTGGGATGCAGATTGACACAGACGCTACAGGAAACACTACGGAGGCTCCTCAAAAAGCTAAAGGTAGAATTATATATGATCCAGCAATTCCACTTCTGAGTATTTATTCCAAGATAACGAACATATTTAAAAAGATATACCTGCCCCCATGTTCACGGCAGCATTATTTACAACAGCCACAATATGGAAACCTAAATGTCCATTGGTGGATGGATGACAAAAATGGGCCCCCCCCATACACAATGGAATATTATTCATAAAATTCCATAGATTTCCTAATGAAATCTTGCCCCTCTGAACAACATGGACGGACCTTGAGGGCATCATGCTAGATGAAGTAAGTCAGAGAAAGACAAATATCGTATGATCTCACTCCTATGTGAAATCTTCAAACAACAGCAAGAACAACAACAAACCAAGCTCACGGATACCAAGAACAGATGGGAGATTGCCAGAGGTCAAGGCCAATAAACAATGAATCAGTCGCGGGACGTAGAGAACTGCCTGACAACCATAGTTAACAGTGCGGCCCTGCATATGATAGGTGCTGACGTTAGATCTTGAAAGTTCTCGTCACAGGAAAAAAGCGGAATTGTGCATGGTGACGGGGTTAACTAGACTTACTGCAACCATTTCGCAACACAGGTATATACAAACAGCGAATCCCCCTGTGCTCCTGAAACTAATGCTATATACCAATCATTCGTCAAAAACAAATCCCCTAAATGCCCTTCTAAGGGGATCCCCCGTGTGAGTGGTCCCTCCCTGAGGAGGCCATGGACCAACCGGGGGGTTCCGAGGGCAGCCTCCCCACCCTCACACAGCCATGGGAGAGGACAGATGAGTGAACGGTGGCCGCTGCCAACAGTGGGGGGTGAGGGGTGGGAGTCAGAGTCCTTCCTCGGCGGCAGGATCGGCCCCTGGCGCCCCCAGCCCACCCCGGCTCCGGCCCAAGCAGCTGGGCGTCTGTCCGCTCCACGGAAGCGTGTGCTCGTTTCCCTTGCGGATAAGGGGTCTGGAGCCTCAGGGGGCGCGGAGGCTGCCCCCCCAGCCAGCGAACGTGCCAGGTAACCTCTCGCAAGCCCGGCAGGTGCAGCCCCGGGGCCGAGGGCTCTCCCTCCCCTTACCCAGCCCTCCTGTTCCTCACACCTCACCTGAGAAAGAGAAAGATGGTTCTCCGGGACTCGCCCCTGGGGTTCTCGGGGGCCTGGCCTTCCAGGTGTGGCCGGAGGGCCTCCAGCAGTGCCGGGTGCAGCTTCTCGGCCTCGTCGAAAATGAACAGGGTCTGGGGGCAGCGCTCCTGAGTCTTCCCCACCTGACTTGTCAGCTGCCCCTGCACGGAATACAGGGGGCCGCTGGGAGCCGGGGAGCGGCGGGAAGCGGGCCCCAGCCGCCAGCGCCCTAGTGAGGCCCACCCCGCACTGCCCCAAGCGCCCACCCCAGCCCCGCACTGCCAATCCCATCCGGGGGCGCCGGCTTCCCAGGTCCTGCTCATGCCCCCGGGGGTCTGTGGCGAGGAACCGGGCCCCAGCCCGGCTCCCTGTGCCCCAGGACGAGGTCCCGTCCCAGCACGTCCAGTCGCCCTCCCTGCGGGTGGGAGGCAGGCTCTCCCGCAGGGGAGAGGGGCAGAGCAGGCTCACGCGCCCAGGGGCGGCCACAGCCCCACCCCCCACCCCTGCCACGCCGGCTGAAGTCCCCGGAGCGCGGCGCTCACGAGTGCGCAGGCTAGGCTCGGGCAAGCCGGCCGCGGGGCTCGCCAGGAGAGCAAGGCCGGCGCCTGCCCCGGGACGGCTGTCGGCGGAGCCGCACTCACGGTGCGCCTCTAACCTCCCTGCATTCAGACTTCAGGCCCCGTCACCCGTGCGGGGGTGCGAAGATGTGCAGGGTGTGCGGGCGAGTGCGCACGTGTCAGTGTGCACAGCGGGAAGCTGAGATCCACAGCCGGGATCTGCTCTTTCTGGGAAGACCTGGCCGACCAGCCACCAGCCCTTGGGACGCTTCTCGCTACCTCTGCCCTCCGCCGGGGCTGCCAGGCTGCTCGGCCGCCTCTGTCCGCAGAGGCTTACGTCGGCTTCCCGGGCCAACACCTCGCAAATATTGGAGCTAAAGGCCGAAGACAGACGTAGTGATTTGTAATCTCTGCTGTGCTGCAATGGGGTTTGCATCACCGTCTGGCTTATCTGAAATCCTACATGTCTGAATGGAAGAAACCCCAAACGGCAGAGCGGCCCGGACAATTTTTGGCCATCTGCTTGTTGCCATGTGCTGAGCAATTTGAGGAAGACGGGGGGGGAAATCTTATGTGCCTCTTAAAAAAAAAAAAAAGCAGGATATGTAACTTTCTGTCCAGTATTAATTACAGTGACATAAAACACTACAGAGGAAAGGCTTCAAGGGGGTAAACCAAAATGCTAACTGTGGTGGTGTCTGTGTGTGGAGATCATGATAAAGTGCTTTTCTCTGCTCCACATCTCCTACATTACCACTGTTTCTAGAACAGACCATTAACGCGTGGATTCTCTGTGCAAGCTTAGTGTGGCCTCTCACGTATGGCTGAGGAGACAGAGCTCAAGCGGGCGGTGTTTGGAACAGAAGTCTTCCGTCCGTGTGTCCAGGGCCTCAGGTGTGCGGAGTGGATGTGTGTGTGGCTTACAGCTTCTGTCCCAGCGGCCACCTGTTCCCCCCCCAACCCCCCCCCCCGCCCCCGGCTTCTTTGAGGCCTGCCTCCCGCCAGGGAACAGCTGGCTTCAGGACCTCCCTGCCATCACGGAGGCCTGCTGCCTCCCGCCGGCTGGCGAGGCTCCCCGGCCCTGCCCGGCCTCACCTGGTACAGGTCCACGTACTTCGGGTGAGGAAAGTGGAAGGTGGCGATGAACACCTTGACACAGTCGCTCCTCAGCCCGTCCCGGAAGAGGTTCTCCGCCAGCAGCCGCGCCACGAAGTTCTTGCCTGTGCCAGACCAGCCGTGGAACGACAGGGCCAGGGCCTTGCGTGGCCGCGGCAGCTCCAGGTAGCCCCTCACCGCGGTCAGGACCAGCTCCCCGGCCAGATGCTGGCCGTGTAGTCGGCGGCTCAGGTCCGATGCCAGGCCTGGGGGCCGGACAGAGGGAGCCACGGTCAGGGTCTCTCTGGACATCTCGAAGCGGGGTCGCATGCCCAGACTGCCTGGCCACAGTGAGAAGCCACTGCACAGACCCTGCAGCCCGAAGGGATTCAAGGGCTTTTCTGAAGAGCTTGAGAAGTCAAGATTGAATTTAGGGAGAGAACGAATCGCTCTTTCTAAAGGCCCTGAAGACACCCCAGAGTGGCGGGCAGAGTCCTGTCCGGCGGCGGGAACCCAGCCCCCAGGCCCAGGGGCTGCTCCTGCCCGGAAGTTTCAGGATCCCCCTCCCCCGGAATACTTTATGGAGACACCCTCAGATGAATAGATTCGATTCACCGAACACCTGCTGAGGGCAGGGAGCGCTCAGAGTCCTCCGCTAGGCCGTACTTCCTACCGGCCATGAGGTTACAGGTTTGGGGACAGGGGCTCCCGGAAGCCAGGGCAGAGACAGGGAGGATGATGAAAGGTCCCCTGCGCCCTTGCGGGCGCCCCCTGAGTCGCCTCTCCTCCCCACAGATCCCGAGCCCCCTCGCCCGCGAGGTGCCACCTGGGAGGTTGTTGGAGACCCTGCAGTCGCCGCTGCCGCAGCAGTCCTGGAAGCTGCAGTACCACGCGGTCAGGATGTCCAGGTACTGCTGGCCCAGCAGGGGGAGGCTCCAGCCTGGAAAGGGCGGGGGGGGGGGGGTGTGTGCTGTGAGACGGGCACGGGGCTGCGGCCTAGGGGAAGGCGGACACCGCCTGCCTGCAAGCAAGCAGAGCGGTTCTTCCGGTCCTCGGTCCCCCTGCGAGCCACCCCTCACTCCTTGCCAGGGCACGGCCGGAGGGGGCGCCCCATCCATCCAGTCGCGGACACCGGCTCCAGCAAAGGCTCAATTTACTCAACGGATAGGCCTTAGCGCTGGGTGCCGCACCTGCCCACAAGGAGCTTGCAGTCTCTAGGGAGTCAAACAGTGGCTGCTGATCATCATTCCTCCTACTTGCTCCGGGATCGGAAATCATGCGACCCGCAAGGGCCTCGCCGTTCCATTGCCAAATGTCAACTTGAATACACCCAGCACGAGCAAAACCCAAACAGTATTGGGGGACCCAGGATGATCTGCATGGGCTGCAAGGAGCCTCGGAGGTCATCTGGTCCGTGACAGTGAAGTGACAGCCCTGCCGCACGACTTGTCGGGGACGAAGCTGGGCCGGGAACACAGGTCCAGGACTCCCGGCCCAGCCCCGGCCCTGTCGGCAGCAGAGGAGAGAAGATGCTGGGGCCGTGGCCATCGGGGGCTTTCCGTGAGGCCAGGGAGGCGGCGGGAAAGAGCAGCTCCCGGGAATGAGCCAGGGCGGGCTGAGGGGACTCAAGGAAGTGGGAGGTGTCTGGAGGGGTCACGGACGGGCGACGCGGGCAGGGCAGCCAGGCCCATTCGGGGGTCTCAGGGGGCCGCGCCGGAGACGGGGGGTGGGGACGGGCTGCCCGGCCCCCAGCGGTGCCCAGCTTCCCCGGCGGCCGCTCTTACCCAGGGGCCGCGCGCGAGCCTCCTCGGCGCCCTCGCAGTGCTCGGGCCACACGCGGCAGCGCAGGAGCGCCCAGTAGCGCCGGGACAGGGCGGCGGCCTCCCTCAGCCGCTCCCGCAGGCCCTGGAGGGGCTCCTGGGCCCCGTCCGGCGGGCTGGCGTGGCCCGCGCCCGGGCGCGGCGGCAGCAGCAGCAGCAGCAGCAGCAGCAGCAGCAGCAGCAGGCGGAGGCGCAGGCGAGGCATGGCCTCGCGGACTGGCGCCGGCGCGGGAACCGAGGCCCAGCCCCGGCGCCCGGAGGGCACCCCGAGGCCGCCGGCAGGCGCCGCCCACCGCGGGGCTCGCTTCCGGCCGCCCGCCGTTCCGGGGAGCCTGCGGTCGCGGAGCCGGTGCCGTCAAGCCCCGGAGAGGTCGCTGCCGGCCACCCCGCCGGTACCTGCGGCCGCTCTGGGGGCCCCTCCGAGGCTTAGCAAATAAGGGCACCCGTGTCCCCGGGGGGGGCTGGCGGCGGCCGGGTCCGTGAGCGGAGAGAGGCCCCGGGGCGCGGGGCGCACGCCGGGAAGCGAAACCGGCGGGAGCGGCAGGTTTCCGCGGGCGGGAGCACGCCCACAGCAAGAGGAAGCCCAGGGCTCGGGGCCGGGGACGCTGGGCTTCTGGAAACTCCCAGTAGGGGGGGAAATCAAGTCTCATTACGAGGAAGTTAGGCTGAGGCCTGCGGGCTCGCTCTTGGCTACGTTTGCAACTTTCCAGTGCTTGATCGCAGCTTTCAAGTGCTTGTGCCACCCAGCCGCTTCTCAAACGCCACTGGCAAGACCTGAGGGCCCCTTTCCGTTGGGCGCCCTTCCACACGACGTGAGCATGCAGCAAGCTTGTTAGATTTCCGAAAAGCGTTAATGCATTTTCCAAAATCACTGGGGTGACCGAAGCCACTGGCCTAATGGGAGCCATCTTGTCCCTGGAAGAAAGTGCTGAATCCGGGGACTTGACTAAGGGCACAGGCTCAGTGGCCTTGAGGGGGAGTTCTGCAGACCGTACTCGGGAGTCCTAGGTCTCACAGAGCCGCAGTCGCTTACGTCACACCCAGCGCCACGTCTGCTCCTCCCTCCACTGCGCGCCAAAGCTGCAGAAACCAGCAAGCACCTTCATCGGGGCGCCACCACAGTCAAGTTGAAAAGCGGTTATGCATATGCCTATTGTAGTTCTTAGCCACATGAGGTCGACGCTGAACCCAAACCTCCCACAGAGCAGGGCCAGGACACCGGTACTGCCCGATGTGCAGACTCGGGGAACCTTCCAAGGACAGTTAACAAGGGACACGCCTGTTAGGAAATTGAAAACATGAACTCATTCAGTAAATGGGCATGAATGGCAACCCAGTATAGTGATTAACTGAATGGCCCCCTACCATTTTCTATGTGTGACCTTAGGGATTAGCTGCCCTATGCCTCAGTTTCTCTACCTATAGAATGGCATAATAGAAGTCACTTGACAGGGGTGCTATGAGTGTTAATGAGCTCATTCAGTTTCATGTTAACTGAATATGTCAGTTATACATACATATGTCCCACCCCTGAATGAAGCGTTGAGTGGTTTCCACAGGAGGCTTGGGTGGTTTTATTTATACTAGTGATGTTTATAAGTGAATTTATGGTGATAAAATTACTAATAGTAACCCTAGTTTCTTTTAAAAACCCAGGTTTTAAGGCAAAATAACTCTGTCTCTACTTGTAACTTTCATGTAAGACTAATTTCTGCAGTGTTTTGATCTGAATTTAGCATTTAGTGGTAAATAAAGTAGGTAGCTGGAAAGTTCCTGGGCAAACATCTTAATTTTAAGAAGACATTTTTTTCCTAAAAGGTAAACATTTTTTCCCCGTCTTTGTCAGCTCCACATAGAAACAACGGATCCAAACACTGGTTTTTAGACTAGTTTCCAGCCTAAATAAATTGCTAACATTTCATTCTCAGGGGGGGGGGGGGGGGGGGGGGGGGGGGGGGGGGGGGGGAGTCTAGGAGCACAAGAGCTCATGGTTGACGGCGACATCTAGAGGCTGCTGTGAAAACTACAGGCAGCCATGATTCCTTAGGAAGCGGACTCCTATTTGTGCTACTCAAGTGTGGCCCTGGGACCCGCAGCGCTGGTATCGTCCAGGGGCTTGTCAGAAATGCAGACTCAAACCTACTCAATTAAAATCTGCATTTTAACAAAGTCTAAGAGAAAATGGGCACACAACACCTATACCGAGGTCACTGAAATGGGATCAAGCTTTGCCACAGACATCTTCCCGACCCTGCTGGAGACAGAACACGATCTGTCCTGAAACAATCTTTGAGTAAAAATCAAGCCTTATAATTAAACTTGGCACGTAAAAAGCCAACACGGAAACCATAAAATTGTTTCAGAGCTTACCTCTGCACCAGTGGCTCCTCTGTGAAGAGCACGTGACAACACAGTGGATGGACTTGGAGTGTTCTCTCCAGATGGAGCGCACCTGACGAAAACCACAGGACACCTCTCTCCGCCCCCCCCCCCCCCCCCCGCCAAGGGCTAGAACAGTACAGGCCCAGGAGGCTGTGCACTTCGGAAGTTGGGGTTCTACGCACACGTCAAGCCTGGATCAGTCTCCCCTTCCTCGGTGTAGGTTCTGCCTACCTCTCACCCCCTGACCCTCTGGGATGCGTTCCTGCTCCTGTCTCTCCTGTCTCTCCTGTCCTTCATTTCCATCAGTGCTGACACACTCGGTGCTTCAGTTCTCTTGCTGGGACTGCGCGTGCTCTGAGGGGACACCCAATTCCCAAATGGCTACCAGAGACCGAATAAACCCTCCCTACTCCCAGTTGTCTTTTTCAAGCTTTAACACCAGTCTTTCTGATATGCTTGAGAACAAAGTCTGACTCTCACCAGGAAAAGGATCCTATGTGGGGAGTCAGTGACTGGGCCTCCCACTGCTATCCAAGCGCACATGACAAAAGCTGGTGCAAAAATGTGGCAAACCAAGTAAAAAAATCCTTAAGGAGTCTGCTCAGTCAGCTAGCTGAGGTTTATGATGCTGGATTTCTGTTTCCAAAGTTAAAAACCTGGGTGTCCTAAGAATACAAATAAAATCAGGGGCCCTGGGTCTTCTCCCTGCCTCTAGAGAATTGTGCTGACAAGTCTTCAGGATTTGTGATTCTTTACCTCTAAAGAAGCTGCAAGAATGGACTGAACTACTAAGTATACAAAAAGCACCTAAGAATGCTTAAGTTCTCTCCAAAAGGGAAACTTGTGGAAGAGTCACAACCTGATAGGGTCCTTTGGAAGACTCGTGAGGAAGTGCAAAGGTCTTCCTCATCAGACGCCGTGCAATGTCCCCGTGGAAGTTTACGTGGGAGGTCGAGGATGTAATCTTTTTCTGTCCCCTAACAAAACAGATTAGGAACTTGGAAGCAGAAAACACTGAAAATATCCTGAAAGGGGAAAAAGGAGTAAGAGGAAGAGATGATACATCAATACTTAATAAAATCTTTATTTATTTTCTTTCAGAATCGAAACCCATAGAACACATTAGAAATTTAGGTGCGTGTATCTGTCCTGTCTGGGGTCTTCCCAATCCCGACCACCACCTGTGCACCAGCTCTGAGAGGAGCCCCTTGGCAGATCAAAACGGAGGGTACCGGTTCCTACACCACCCTTTTAAGCAAATAAATTAGCTTCCCAGTAAGTTATTCCCAGTTCCCCGCCCCCCACCTCAATCATTTTGTACTTAGAACACCTTTGTTCCTTAGAAACCTGTGGCAGTAGAGTCCTCAGCCCCTGCCTTTGCAAGTCAGACTTGAGGGATCGACGGGAGAAAACCTGGCCTTCCCCGGACAACAGGCCTCACGAAGTCAGGTGTGCGTGGCGCACTCGTGCACCCACCACGGCTGGCTCACCGGAGCGGCTCGGCGGCACCTGCTCAGGGGATGGTCTGGGTCACCCAGGGTCCACTCTCAGACACGGGGAAGAGAGCCTGTCACTAGCTTCAAGTTCCTCAGCAACATAAGTCAGTGTTTCCCTGTGTCAAAATAAATACATTTGTTTTCTTGCTACAATATGACTATATACATACATATGCCTTTACTCATGTTTCTGAAGCTCGAGCCCACAAGGTAACTCTTACAAGACAGATGCTGTTTTACTGTCCCTGGTCAAACAAGAATACAGGGACCACTGAGAACGGAGCGGAAGGAATGTGGTGGATGGGAAGGGAAAGGCAAGTCTTTTGTTTCCTTTTCTTTAAGAGAAGGAAAAGATGAATTTCCATGGGAAAATCTGTTGTTCAGGGGACACTGGAAAATTGCCACGTACACAGGTTTCATCTTTCCTAAAATAATACGCAACGGATGTACCTGAATTCTTCCATTTCCTCCTTAAATCTTAAATTTGACACATTAGTCCTGAGCGCAACAGGGAGAAATGCCGTATCAATATATTATTGAAGCTCTGAGCAAATCAGATCCTACGAATTTGTTTTGCACAGACAATTATTTACACCCGAACCCACAACTTAACCTCATATTAAATAATTTAGAATGAAACTTCTTTACCCATATTTCCCCAAATTCTGGAATAAACGTATTTAGGAAGTGGGAGGAGGTAAGAAAATAGCAGTCACTTCCGATTTTCCTCATCTGACAATATTAAAACGCACCCACATCTACCTTCAGACGCTCCCTTAGGCACCCCCACCCAGGGCTGACCAAGTCACGTCCAGTGACTTGTCTGAGTGTAACAGTGCTAAATAAACCACAGAGGACAGGGTTACAAAACTTAACAAAAGGACACCTGTCTGTTTTCAAGGAGAACTTACTTTTTGTGAATTTTAGGGCTATAAGCCTATGCTTGGCTTCTTCCAAGATGTGCCTACACATGCCCTCCTGGCGTAATCCAATCCTGATCAGATATAAATCCGTTCTAAGAGCCCTGTCACGGCCACGCTGTTAACACAGAACTTTCACCACGATACGGCTGAACACCTCTTAAGACCATGAATTTTAAAACAGTAGGAAAGGGAATGAAATGAAACATTTCTGCGATGTTTTGGAAAAAAGGATGCAACATTTTCAAAGCCGCTCCCCGTCCTGCTTCCTTCCTTAGCAGTGTTTTCTGCCTTCAACATCATGAATGAAGTTCCCAGGCTGAGAACAATTCTTGCCCCCCGCCCCCTCCAGCAACATACACCCAGTGCCCCGTGTCTGCAGGAACACCGACCCTTTGTTCAGTGTGACTAACCTGTGCCCAGGTGGGCGGCGCGGGCCTCCCTCCGGCCGGCCCCCTGACGCTAAGGGGGAGGCTACCCAAGGCATTCTCAGGCTCAGCTGTGAACGTCACTTGATACACACCGCAAATGGCCTTAAAACTGGAACCTGAGGCCTCCTTCGGTTGACCCGACTTCAGTGTTTTGTGCTAATACCTGTTTTCTTAAATTCAATACCTTTTTTAAGGACTTTAACCCATTCTCGCGTATTGACTCGAAATGTACAGACAAAGCACAGAAGCATCCTAACTTCATGCTGTTAAGTAGCTACAGGTTACTTAGCTGTCTTTCGATGCGAGAAAACGAGGGCATACATTCTACGCGGTTTAGGAGAGGGAGGCTGCCTGGCACTGCTCTCCGACGGCTGCCATTAACCTGCTCACCCACACTCTTTAAATACCAGTGTCTGCTCCACAGGAGCGCAAGGCTGGCCCGGCACCTGGACAAGATGCAGGAGGGACGGGTGCGCAGGGAGCGAGCACACCGGGCCGGTCCCCCTCGGGTGCCGCGCTTCACCGCAGCTGCTCCCGGCTCCAAGTCGCTCTGCGGGAACACAGAGGGCACTGAGCCGGGGCGTCGGCCGCCTGACACTTGCACGCAGCGGGAGGACACACGAAAACGATACCACGCCATCGTTCAGAACGCCCGATGGAACTCAACGAGGACATTAGGGCTTGATGTAAATCAAAATTTTAAGGCCCTTCCTGGTAATCTCCTTAATTTTAAGGCTCAGAAAGCTGAAAATTTTTGCTCCCCATCTTCTGCAAGGCCTAAGTCACAGGACAGGTCCAGCCGCCAGCAGGACGCGCACTCAGGGAGTGAGCTGGCTGTTCCCACGAGAAGGGCACGAACAGGACGGCCATTCTCTCAGCAACAGAGGCTTCGGGGATCAAATGCCTTAAAGGCTGAGGTGGAAATTCGTTTCCAAAGCGAACTCAGGATGGCAGAGATCACAGGCAACTCCACTCTTATTCAGCGTATCATCCCAATTCGCTTTGTTAATTTAGAAAAGAACCTGCCAGCTTTGGGCCAAAGGGAAAAAAAGTCTCCGCGAGAGAATCACGCTGGACAGCTTCCGGGTGCGCTGGGACACCACGGGGGGAACGCGGGGCTCACTGAGGTTCAAGTCCTGTCTGCGTTTACGCGCCTGCCAGGAGCTTCTCCGATTCTGGTCCTGCCTCTCCTTCCTGCCTCTAAACGACCGGGAAGAGCAAGCCCTCCCACCCAATCGCTTAAGAGCCCGAGCATCTTTCCTGCCTTTGTCTTTCCCACTAATTCTATCCTAAAAACAGACCCCTTCGCCGTCTGGGCTCAACAGAACGCCAGGTTGTACTTGCTGCCACTCCTCAGGAGGCGGTCAAACTCCCGACTGGACTAGACCTGGTTACAGAAGGACTCAAGCCATTAAAGTGTTTTCAGAAAACCCACAGGTGTGGAGGAAGGACTGGAAGATGAACCCAAACTACATGCTGTGGAACCAACCCCAGCATTAACCTATCCAAACGTCACACCTCCGTCCGCCCTTTGGCACGCGCGTGACGATGGGCCCAGCAGGAGGCCCGCCGCGGGGGTGCGCCGATGCCGAGGGGTCCGGTGGTCGGGCAGGCACGCTCCTGGGGTCTGCACCCCGTAGTCTCTGCCTCAGCTTCTCCTCCTACGGAAATCGCCAAAGGAATCCAAGGCCACCCCGTCCCCCACCACCCAGAGCTCGCTGCCGGCCATTTCCGATCCATCTCACACCATTTGGAAGTGATTGTGCTGTTTCTCTAGCTTTGTAAAAAGTAGTTTCACTTATTTTCTGTTGCGAATTACAGGTGGGAGAGAGGCATCCTGTCTTCCACCAGCACAGCGTCCGCCCCAAACTGGTCAGTGCACTGCTTCACGGTGGCCAGGGTGCTCAGGAGCCGCTGGTCCACGGCGTCCAGATGAGGCTCAGACAGCACGGGAGAGATGGGGTCATGGGCCATGGCGGCTTTTAAGGCAGACTTCAGCACACCATTCTTCAGATAGTTCAGTCTGTTCCAGGTGGACACCCGAATGCTGCAAGACAGTGTGAGAAGGCAGATTACATAAAACCTCTTACGAGCAAAAGGGGTTCAAAGCCAGCTTGGTAGGCAGAAGTCAGGAAACAACTGGGGCGGCGCCTGGGTGGCTCAGTCGGTTGAGAGTCCAACTCTTGGTTTCAGCTCAGGCCATGATCTCACTGTTGGTAGGACTGAGCCCAGCACCAGGCTCTGCGCCGACAGCGTGGAACCTGCTTGGGATTCTCCCACCCTCTCTCTGTTCCTCCCCTGCTTGTTGTGCTCTCTCAAAATAAATAAATACAGAGGCGGTGTATTTATGGGTGGCTTAGTTGGTTAAGCGTCCGACTTTCGCTTAGGTCATGATCTCGCGGTTCGTGGGTTCGAGCCCCACGTCGGGCTCTGTGCTGACTGCCAGCTCAGAGCCTGGAGGCTGTTTCAGAGTCTGTGTCTCCCTCTCTCTCTGACCCTCCCCTGCTCACGCTGTCTCTCTCTCTCTCTCCTAGAAATAAATAAAAATATTTAAAAAAATAAATAAATAAATAAATACACTTAAAAAACTAAAATCAAGTAATACCGGCAATAATGATCTGAAAAGGAGCTCCTGAGAGCCTGGTTCTTTCATTTTGATTTACCTTTTAATTTCTTTGTTTCCTATTACAGACTTTAAAAAAATAAGTTATGCCTACAAAAAAGTTACTTCTGGTTTACACAACTTCAAATTGAGATACGCGAACTTCAGGGTGGTCTGTGGTGAGGACGGAGAGGACTTCAAACCCCAAGGTAAACAGTAAGGTAGCCAGGGGCACAGACTCTTCTAGATTTTTGGTGGGCAGAGGACTATATTCTGATAGTAAAACAAATATATACATTACTGAATAGACTGAAATTTCTATACATACAACATTTGCAATGACTTTTGAGTTCCAGGCGTTCTGGGTTGGAAAAGCATAAAAAGCACTTGCTCGGGTATTAGGAAGCCTTACGGCCAATGACGCTCGCGTACCGTTACCCGAGCCTGGAAGGGCAGGCAACACTGGCAGATGTATGTGACGTGTGTAACTTACATGCAACACTGATAGAGGGGGGCGAGGATGCTTCTCTCATCCAGCGACGGGTTCCCAAAGCTGAGAATTAAATTAAAACTTAGTGCATTAGTTACTGGCACCAGTTCCCTGCTTAGCAGCAGAACAAGAGCAAATTCTCTAAGAAAACCCAAACGTGATCCTAGATAATTTCATGCTCCCACAGCTCAAATCACTTAAATTAAAAATAAACAGGGCGTGACCAATTAGACACGGGTTGCCTAACAGCCTGTCCTGTGGCATGGCACAAAACGACAAACGCCCTCACTTACAAGGCACCCCTCTGCTGCCACTAGGGTGAGGTGCTGACACACTGCCACAAATGCAGGGTGGAGCCTATGGACCAAAGGGAGGGCCTGAGGACCCCGAAACCTGACAAGGCTTTATGGGTGGGGAGAGAAATTAAGTCTATTCACATGATTCCCACTTGCTCTACTTGAGAATCACCGATCAGCACAAGCTGGATCCTCCTAGTGCTACAAGGCGGCAGCTGGCCAGACTCAGACAGGAGCAAGTGCTCCAGACGCTGAGAGCACAGGGCTTCCGGGCAGATGGACACACGGTCTTCGCAGTAACGCAGAATTCGATGAGAACTGGTTCTGGGAAACCCTACTCTTGTCCCGGAAGCTCACCCTAACAGCATGGAAGGTCTGGCAGCGCCTAGCACAGCGCAGGCCCTCAGATGACAGACGGCAGGGACAGAGCCGCCTGGGGGCTCTATCGGTTAAGCGGCTGACTCTTGATTCTGGCTCAGGTCCATGATCTCGAGGTTCCTGAGACTGAGCCCCACGTCCGGCTCCGCGTGGACAATGCAGAGCCTGCTTGGGATGCTCTCTCTCTCTGGCCCTCTGCTGGGAGCCACACCGCCTCGCTGGATGACAGTCACAGCGAGGAAATGGCAGTGTTTGCACAGCTCCTGCCATGAGAATCGAAACTGGTATCTCCTTCTGCCACTACTGGCTCGTGTTGGAAATAAGCCTGCGGGTATTGACCAGGCCTCACAATATTCCAAATCAGACCGATATTCCCCACACAGATTCCTCATAAGGCAAAGCATACTCCTGCCTCTTCTACTGAGATTTTAGATGAAAGCTCTGTGGATGACTGTCGAAAGGCTCTTCCTAAGGGCCTTGCAGATCCAAGACTTAGATAATAAAGGGGGTTAAGAACACAAGAGTTACAACTGAGCCTGGCCCGGAGACAAAGAGCCAATTTGAGAGTTAAGGAACTTAAGTTAATACTTATACCTTTTCTAACTGGTGATGTATGGGAATCCCTTCCCTAAGGCCTACTTTCCACAAACACCCTCCCTTACACTGGCAGCTGGGATGAGGATCGATAAGAGTAGCTAAAACATAAACCCCAAAACAAAGGCTGACACATTTAGGGCCTCCATGGTGTTTACACATTCAGCATCAGGTCAAAAAGGTTTCCACAAACAACTTATTAACCTGCTCAAAAACATTCATCCTCTTGAGAGCCAGACAGAATGCCTCCTAGCCTATCTGTACACAACTTAACCTATGTCCTAATGTTAGCGTTATTAACTTAGAACAAATAATGTATGTCATCCTGTTTTTCACTAAGAACATCCTGTTGTTTCCTTAGTCATAAGATTTACTCAACCTCACTATGATTGGGGTAATTCTGCAAGACTACTTCCGAAAAACCTGTTTCTGTACCCGTTTCAAAGCATCTTATCACGAAGAGTTTTCCATTGTGAAAATTCCTTTTCCAGATCTCATGTTATCGCTTGACACGTTATCACGTTCCGGGCGTTTTCCGGTGCCTCCCGCCCCCGGAGAACACACCCCTGGATGCGCTGAATCCCCGCACGGACGAGGACCGCCGTGTGGCCATACCTTTTGGCATTATCGAGGAGGAGGAGCATGCTAGCGCCCTCGTCGTCTTGGAAACTCTCATAGTGGTGGCGGTCAGCATTGCCGATCAGGTAATCAAAGACCGCGGTGTCAATGATGTCCAGGAGGCGCGGGCCGGAGTCGTAAGGGGACGTTTTCTTCACGGCGTCGCAGTAGCTCTCATCATACTCCCATCTGGAGGCGAGGGGCACCGCCAGGGGTACTGACCGCGTGCCCGCACTCTACCCGGCCCCATTTAAAACATCCCCGCCTGGCGGGCTGCCCCCAACCCTCACCTCCCAGCCCTGTTTGGTCTGGGACGGAAGTCCTGGCCCCTGGAGGGCGTGGCCGGCCGGGCAAAGGACAGGACGAAGTGGCGGCCCACACGAGCACGCACCTGGCCAGCTTGCCTTCCCGGTAAGTCCTGCCCCACGGGTGTCGGTGTTTCTGCAGAGGCCACACATCCGGAAGCCACAGTGTGACAGACCCCTCCATTGTGTCTCCGTCAGCACAGGCCGGCTCTGTCTCTCGGCAGTAGTAACACTTCCCGTAGAAACAAGTATTATTTCCTAAAGGAGAGAAAGGGGCCAAGTACACTTACAAAAGGAAGATTCCAAACTCTCCCCAATGATGTCAAAGGGAGCAGCGAGGTGAACAAATACTGTGAAAACAATGATCTGTGTATTTTCTGTACAGGAGATGGTGAAGAAACAATGTCAGAAGGCACAAGAAGGTGTATGTGAAGCAGCCCCTTGTCCTCTGTGTCCCTGCTGGCCAGTCCCTCTCTCGGGGGTCAAGTGCGGTCACAGGTATCTTTCCGAACTCACTGTAGGAAAAGTCACGCCCTCTTCTCTTCTGTCAGGGCAGACACTGCGGCCGGGGGCCCGGGGAGGCCCGCTCAGGGTCAGGCTGTGGGCTGGGCATCTGGGTACGTGCGGGTGGGAGTGGCGTGCAGCACAAACAAATACACTGAGGGTGGTGGGCACCAGGTTTCTCAGACAGAGAAGGGAGAGGAACACACAGAAAGGGCAGAAACCAGAATAAATCTTGTGGTGCTGACTTAGAACTGGAGCTACTGGCTTGAGAGTTTTCATACAGAGGTATAGAAAAAGACACAGATGTTTGTGTGTGTATGCGTGCATATTTACACGCATGTGTGTGTGTGTGTGTGTGTGTACACACAGCTTTCCAACCTTTGTCCCTCAAGAGAAAGCCTGCAATGGATGACAAGAAAGCAGTAAGGAGCACACCCAGCACTCACACATTAGTTTCTAAATCCCATTTTACTACTATCTTAAAAGGACCAGGGGCTCCTTGGAGATACAGGTGGCTCTAGTGCGGGGGCAGGGAAAGTCCAGAATGAGTCCGGGTGGTGCTGCTGCGCCAGGTGTTAGGGAAGCGCTCGGAGAATGATGGAGACACACTCAAACCCACTGGTCAAAATCTGGCACAGTTTGAGCATCAAAAAAATAACAACGAATCAAAGCTCTGAGTAAATTAGGAGTCTGAGAGTTCGCCGCAATACCAATAAATAACTGACTCAATGTTGGTCACAGGGGGAGAGTTCTGCCCTTTAACAGACTGGAGACTGTTAAGTCTAGAAAGAATGATAAAATCAGCAAATAACTATTTGACGACTATCACAGTAGTGACTGACTCAGGCAAGGGTTATCAATGAGTGCCAAACAAAGTGGTGAGTAAAAGTTCGGAGAGGATAGAGTAGTTACATAGTTCTGCAGTATCTCACAATAAAGTACTCAGTAACTACTAATCGGTGTAAAATACTTACTAACTTTACACTGGAGGAAGCTTACAGATAACTACCATCGAGTGATAAAAGTTAACGTCACCGGGATGTCTGCGCGGCTCAGTCGGTTAAGTGTCCGACTTCAGCTTAGGTCATGGCCTCACGGGTCTTGAGTTCAAGCCTTACATCTGGCTCTCTGGTGTCAGCGCAGAGCCTGCTTGGGATAGTCTATCCCCCTCTCTCTGCCCCTGCCCCACTCGCACGTGTTTTCTCTTTCTCTCTCTCTCAAAAATAAACATTAAAACAGTTAACCTCATCAGTAATGGGGCACAGCAACAAGTCGCCATCATGTGCCTCCTGATCTGACGTACTGGGAAGAGCCCAATAGCACCTCTCTGGTATTCCCACCAAAACTCTTAAATCATGAGGAAATATCAAAGTCAAATTAAGAGATACTCTATAGGAGTGCCTAGGTGGCTCAGTCAGTTAAATGTCTGACTCTTGATCTTGGCTCAGGTCATGATCTCACACTTTAACAAGTATGAGCCCCGCATCGGGCTCTGTGCTGACAGCTCAGAGCCTGGAGCCTGTTTCAGATTCTGTGTCTCCCTCTCTCTGCCCCTCCCCAGCTCGCACACTGTCTCTCTCTCTCAAAAATAAACAAACATTTGAAATCCCCTTTTAAAAAAAGTTTAAAGGGGGGCCTGGGTGGCTCAGTCAGTTAAGCATCTGACTTCGGCTCAGGTCATGACCTCACAGTTCTTGGATTCGAGCCCCGTGTCAGGCTCTGTGCTGACAGCTCAGAGCCTGGAGCCTGCTGCAGATTCTGTGTCTCCCTCTCTCTCTGCCCCTTCCCTGCTGGTTCTCTCTCTCTTTCTCTTTCTCCCCCTCTCTTTCAAAAATAAACATTAAAAAATTATTTTAAAAAAAGTTTAAAAAACAAAACCTAAAGGTAAGGAATATTTTCTCAGCCCTCCGTCCCTATTAAATACAGCCATCAAATGAGCGAATTTCCTACACATAACCCCTCACACACTCCTTCCGTGACTGCTCATGTTCTCATGCATGTGTGTCCCTAAAGAGACAGGCAGCAACCAGACCTTCTGGGATTCCCAGACTCTAGCACGGCAGAAATAAATCCACTCCACGTCCACCCACAGAGCTGATTATATCACTCTTCTACCTTAAAAATGTTTCTAGGTAAAGAATATTTGAATTGAACAGTATACCAGATATATAATGTTTCTAATTATAAAAATATAAACATAAATTTAACTTGACCCCATCAGAAATAGGAGCAGATCAGGGCACCAGGGTGGCTCAGCTGGTTAACTGACTCTTGATTTTGGCTCAGGCCATGATCTCATGGCTCATAAGATCAAGCCCCATGTCGCGATCAGCACTAACAGCCTGGAGCCTGCATGGGGTTCTCTCCCTTCCTCTCCCGGCCCCTCCCCCACTTGCTCACTTGCATGCTCTTCTCTCTTTCCCCCAAAATAATAAACTTAAAAGAAATACCGACAGATCTTTTAGAGGGTAATTGGATAAGACGATTTTTACGGTAATAAGGAAGAAGAACTACTAGTAGAATCTTAAAATAAATCTCAAAGAGAGGGACTAACACTCTCCAAACATACCATGATTAAAACACAGATCAACTCATGAACAGACAGGAGCAGAACAGACAGTCCAGAAACTGAAGCACATACAAACAACAATTTACTTCGGTGGGAAAAAGGACCTCTGTAGTAAGCTCAGATAACTACTGGGACAAGTGACAGCCATCTGGAATAATGACACAAACAGCTGGGGCCACACTTCGTCCACTCACCAGGGTAAATTCTAACTATGTCAAAAACTTAAATGTGAAAAATAAAACTATAAAAGTGTTTAAAATAAAAAAGGCAGAATTCTTCCATAATCTTTGAGCGAGCAAGGCTAACTATGACTCAAAGTCAGAAAATCTGTAAGGGAAGATGGATCAATTACATTAAAAACAAAAATTTCTATAATGCAAAATGATACCATAAGCAAAGTCAAAAGTAAGAACTGGGAAAAATATTTGTATCTCGTGTCACAAAGGGCTGTGTTCCCTACGTACGAGCTCCGATAAATTGGTAAGACGGTGGCAGAGCTGAAAAAGTGCAAGGGATACACACACGCAGGTAAAAGAAAATACAAATGGTTCTTAAACAAATGAAAAGATGACACATGTGAAATACACAAAAGCCAAAGCTGGGTAACATGCTGTTGGTGGCGCTAACGGAAAAGACGCATGCTCACACATAGCTACAGGGAATGTATGCCGGGGAAACATCTCTGTAAAAGTACATGTGCCCTTGGCCCCAGCGCTTTCACTTCTGGATATATTTGATCATGTATGAAGCTATACATATGTACACAGTAAATCTGGACAACACTGGTTCTAAGAAAAATATTGGAACTTGTATGTCCAATAAAGGTCTGGTTAAATGAATTATGATAGATGCATACAACAGAGCACGTTGCAGCTGGTAAAACAGCAAAAGAATGAAGAAGCTCTTTATGTGATAATAGATTTCCAAGATATATGCGGTAAAAGAAGACGCAGAAGTATGTGCAGTGTGATATACGTATTATAAAGCGGTAGACTTAAATAAAAATACACATCTGTATTTGATACAAAAAAGGACATAAAGAAATTACTAACAGAGATAACCACTGGGAGGAAGGGAAGGAATGGAGAGATGAAGGGAAAACTTTTCATTGTAATCTTTCTAATACTTTTTAAAACTTCTGAGTTGCATGAATGTCTTACTGATTCAAAAAAAAATTTAAAAACAAAGCCAAACACTGTAGTCTCCATGACAAAACCCAAACTCCTGAGTTCGCTAAGACTCTCCATAACTGAATGGGGTATGGCATACTGGCTGAGTCGGAAGCAGGGTCAGGTTTCTGGGGTTAAAATACAGACCACAAACAGTCATTAGACATGAGACTTCGGGCATGTAATCTCACCTCTCTACGGTTCCTCTGTAAAATGCAGAGAGCAGCCCTTTCCCCCTGGGTTGTAAAGAGTAAATAGGATAACTCACTGTAATGCTAACCACAGAGCCTGACACAGTGTCAGAGACCAATCAATGCCACCTATTTATTATTAATAATTTGCCTCCAATCTACCTTCCCAGACTTTGATATCCCTGTTCACTGCCATGAACCTAGGCTCTGAATGTTTTACTACTTCCTGGATGCGTCAAACTTTAACAACTGGATTTCTGGTCTCCATGCCCTCCTTGAATAAACCTGTAATAATTAAATCTATACTTCTTGCCCACACTTCTCTTCTAGGCTGTACACTTTAGCACTTAAATGACTGGTCAACATCTATCCCTGAATGTTCCAGTCAAGGTCAGATTTTGTACCAAATTCCACTGTGTAGAATTGCAATTCTCGAACACCAGCTGGGTAGCCAGCCTACAATCCAACTCAATTCTGACACTATTTACCCAGAGACAGCACCAGACTCCACAGATTAAAGTCTCAGTCCCAAAAGACTGTGCTCTAATTCACATCCCGGTTGTAAGTCTGGGTCGTCACCTGTGCTTCTGATGCACTGGCTTAAAAATCAGAGGTTTCCATGAGCCCCTCCTGGGGCTGGAATGATTTGCTAGGGCAGCAGAACACACCCTGGGGAAAAGGACAGTCTTCAATAAACGCTGTTGGGAGAACTGGACAACCACATGCAGAAGAATGAAACTGGACCACTTTCTTACAGCACACACAAAAGTAACTCAAAATGGATGAAGGACCTGAATGTAAGACAGGAAACCATAAAACTCCTAG